CTGCCCTGTTTTTGCAATGGATGCTTAACGCGGCTTAGAACAGTGAAGCCTTATGGGTGTCGAGCCACATGGTGGTGGGGATATGGTGGGGGGGACAAGGGAGGGAAATATCTGACCCGAGGACTCCTTTTTTTCCCCTCTCAGGCATAACAGTCTCCAGCCAGGCTAACGACATGGTGGGGTTTGTGTTCCTGAAGCAAAGGACCAGCATGATGGTGAGTGTGAGGACAAAGCTGAGGGGAGCCTGCAGGACTCTGGGGCGTGGTACCACTGCTCTGCATGCTGTCTCTGCCATGCTTCCCAAAACATGCCCCCTCCCCTCCATCTTTTCGGGGAGAAACAGCTGTGGCAGCAAGACCGCCCTCCCTTCTCTCTCAGTAGCCCAGTCAATCTAGCATATGTTCCCTTCTGGGCAGAGAAAACATGGTTACTAAACAGTAAACCCACATTCCCAATCTGTATGTCAGGGAACTATGTTACCCGAAAGGCACAACACAGAACAAATCTGATGTAAACACTACACAGGCTAGAAATGCTGCAGTGATTAAAAGACAATCTCCAACATTCATGTCTAATGCTAACCTTGAACTCCGGCCAGCAAAACCAAAGTAAATCCATTACAGAGCTTTACAGGCAGAAAAAGGTTTTCACTCAAGTACTTACACATTCTGCCCAGTCAGCCTGCTCTCAGTACTGCCCCTGTTACATCCCCACGTATTTGCCTCCGCAGCAGGAAGAACTGCATTAACGCTGCCCTTTCCCACAAACTCTCCTACTGGTGCTTTTCCCCGGGTGGCAATAGCTGAAGTAGCAAGATACCTCCTCGTGTCAGCTGCCATTGGACAACACCCACGCTGCCACAGATTACATCTTTGAATTTCCTTCCATCCTTTTTCTTATAATTCTGCAACCTTGGGGGCCACAAAGGGGAGTAGCTTGGCTGGTGTTAATGCCATGGTATAAATCTGTTCTCACTGAGATCAAAATTAGGCTATTTGGGGCCAAATTCTTTACCAGTGTAAATTGGCAGGGCTTCATTGCCTTCTGTAAACGAAGATGGCTATTTGCATTTATAACATCAGATGGGTGGCTAATTGTTTGGCATTCCTTGAAGATATGAACAGACGGCAGCATAACTGATTAATGACTATTATTAATCTCAGCTGCTCACAGGAGAGTAGTAGCAGGTTTTCACATCCACTCCTATTATGTACTTGGGCAGTGCAGTTTTCCAGGCCTGAACTCCTGAGGACGGCTGAAGCAGAGGACAGCTTTTCCTTCAGCAAGGAGAGTGAGATTACTCTGTTGCTGACGTACAGTGTCCAGTGCAGTGGTGCAACATCACAGTACCCAAAGATACTATCACCTCAAAACACCCCAGTGTTTCTCTCTGATCCGGTAATCTCATTTTTGACCAATTCAATTTCCAGACCAAGCTTACTTGTGGCCAGCTCGTACAACGTTTGTTCTCATGCTAACACTGCTCTTCAGTTCCAGTCAACCTGATTCCCTTGTGCTCTTCACTGGGTGAACAAGCAAACATTCCTGTTAAACAAACTTCAGTCCCTGACATCTGCATGCCTCGCTGAGTCCCTTCTCACTTGGCATCATCTTTTACATGGATGGGAGTCTCATGAAGGCTTGTGCAATGCCATTAAACGTTCCTTGGCTTTTACAAAGCCACATCATACTGAGGAGCTGTTCCCAGCTAATCCTTTCAGGTCCTGCTGCTCCTCTTATTCGCAACTTATGAGCTTCCAATTTACAGCAATGCTTTTGCCCACAACCTTGCACGTTGCACCTACTGGAGTGCATCCTGCTTCTGCACTGCTGTCAGTCTCCCCAGTTATTACTGCCAGAAATAGACAACTTCACAATCTACATGTCCTTCACAAGTGCTGCTTGCCACCACTCCTGCTTCTTGTCCAGGCGTACTCCCAAAAACGCTCAGTGAGAGCATATGCAAGACCAGCTTCTGAATTCCCTTTCTAGCCTTCTCACAGCACCTCCCATCTGCCAGCTTGGTCCTGAATTACTGAGATTCTCTTTTGCTTTCCTTGCTGAACAGTGTATCACAGAAGCGTCAGGCCAGCCCAGCACACCTGTTTTTCACCCTACTGAGTTTTTTTTTTAATTCCCATTTACCTTTGAATGTGTTCTTTCTTTTAAAATTTGTTCTTTCCCACCTTGAATCAAGACACAAGGGTCTGTGTTTCTCTGGCCAGACCGTGCCCAGTTTGCTCTGAGGGAGACATTAATACTGAAGTTCAGTGCAGCAGTCCTTTCCACATGTGCAGAGATCCTGGGGTACTAATCTGTTAGAATTCTCCTTTTGCTGCAGATGGCAACACTTCTGCTTCTTTCCTCCTTCCTTCTCAGTTATTGGGGCCCCAGCATTTCATTCCAAGCTTGCAGAAAGCAGTCCCAGGGGAGGAAAGGTGGAGTACACTGAGCTGTTACCATTCTTACCTATGTCAGGTGATGCTGCGAAATATTTACTAGATAATGTGGTCCCAGCAATCAGGAGTGGCGCTGGTGACCTGAATGTTTTTCCCACCAAGGTAGACTGCCATTTCCTTATTAGCAGTGTTTTGGGTTTTGGTAGCAGGGGAGGGGCTGCAGGGGTGGCTCCTGTGAGAAGCTGCTGGAAGCTTCCCTGGCTCCAAGTCGGACCCGCCGCTGGCCAAGGCTGACCCAAAGAGTGACAGTGGTAGTGCCTCTGGGAGAACAGATTTAAGAAGGGGAACCTGCAGTGGGGAGCGGGCTGTGAGATAAACGCCTATGTGGACACCAAGGTCAGTGAAGAAGGAGGGGGAGGAGATGCTCCAGGTGCCGGAGCAGAGATTCCCCTGCAGCCCGTGGGGAAGACCATGGTGAGGCAGGCTGTCCTCCTGCAGCCCTTGAAGGTCCACACTGGAGCAGATATCCACCTGCAGCCTGGGGAGGACCCCACGCTGGAGCAGTTGGGTGCCCCTGAAAAATGGCCGTGACTCCATGGGAAAGCCTGTGCTGGAGCAGCCTGTGACTGAAGATCGGCCCGTGGAAAGGACCCACACCAGGGAAGTTCGTGAAGAACTGCAGCCCATGGAAAGGACTCACGTTGGAGAAGTTCATGAGGGACTGTCTCCCATGGGAGGGGCCCCAGGCTGGAGCAGGGGAGGAGTGAGGAGTCCTCCCCCTGAGGAGGAAGGAGCGGCAGAGACAAGGTGTGGGGAGCTGACCCCAACCCCATCCCCTGTTCCCCTGCGCCGCCAGGGAGAGGAGGTGGAGAGAACCGGGAGTGGGGTTGAGCCGGGAAGGAGGCAGGGGTGGGGGAAGGTGTTCTAAGGTTTGGTTTTACTTCTCGTTATCCTTGTTTTCATTTGATTTGTAGTAAATGATTTTGTTTTTTCCCCAAGTCAAGTCTGGTTTTTGCCCGTGACAATAATTGGCGAGTGATCCCTCCTTGTCCTTGTGTGGACCCACAAGCTTTTTATTTTATTTTCTCCTCCCCATCCCACTGCAGTGGGGAGGAGTGAGCGAGCAGCTGTGTGGTGCTTTGTTGCCGGGTGGGCTTAAACCACGACAACCAGTTTCTAGCAGCATTCATATACTTCATGTTTTTGATGTGATTCAGCCAATACCAGAGCCTGCTAGGCAAAGAGTTTTCATTACAGGCATGGATAAATAAAGAAGGATAGGTACAAACCTTCTGATTGACAGAATACTATCTACTTATAACACTGCTTAGAAACCTATAACCTAGATCAAGGGGAAGAAAAATACTCCAACTGGTTTTTAAACTCCTGAAACAAAGCAACTTCAAATTGATGCTTTATGTTGACCAATTATAAAAGCTTCTGAAGTCAGAAAATGCTGGAAAGGAAATAAAATTAAGCTCAATTTTGTCAAGAGGAATGGAACTGCTTTGTCTGACAAATCTGTAACTCATAATCAGTTTGTCATAGAAGTCAGCAATAATTTGCATTGTTATTTATAATACTTCTTGCAGTATGTATTGCCAAATCTACATTCCACAGTGTGCTGGTTTTGGCTGGGATAGAGTTAGCTGTCTTCACAGTAGCCGGTATGGGGCTATGGTTTGGGTTTGTCCTGGAAACAGTGTTGATAACACAGCCATGTTTTCATTAGTGCTGAGCAGAGCTTACACAACCTCAAGACCTTTTCTGCTTCCCATACCTCCCCACCAGCGAGTAGGCTGGAGGTGCGCAAGAAGCTGGGAGGGGACACAGCCGGGACAGCTGACCCCAGCTGACCAAAGGGATATTCCAGACCATATGATGGCATGCTCAGCATATAAAGCTGGGGAAACCTTTCGGAGTGATGGTGTTTGTCTTCTCAAGTAACTGTTACACATGATGGAGCCCTGCTTTCCTGGAAATAGCTGAACACCTGCCTGCTGATGGGAAATGGTGAATGAATTAGTTTTCAGGCAAAACTGCCTTTTTTTTTTTTTTAAACCTGGACATTTCTTCCAACTGCTGTTATTCCTAGGCATACTTGCTATTCATGGACAGTTTCAAATTTTTAAAACTTAAAGCCAACTCCAGCTGTGCCACAGGAAAGGACAGCATGCTGTGAAACTCGCCTGACCCAACTTCCAATGGCCAGCAGAAGCAAGCTTGCAGTTTCACAGCGCAGCATGCCCTCGCAGTGGTAAGCAGTGCAGCAGAGGCAGCAATCTCCAGGTTCAGGGGACTGCAAGAAACAATTTACACCTTGTTTACACACTAAATATCAGTGCCTCTGTATGGGTGGCTTAAACCACTCTGCATTACTGTTACACTTAGCTTTTAAAAATACAGAGATGTGTTCAGAATCCTTGCTAAACTTTTCCTTGAAATGTAAATCTCTCACTATAAATGTTAAACAGAGCTTTTAGCGATGAGCATGGAGAAAAAAACATCCTCACAACTAGGACACAACAGAAAGCCACCCCACTGTACTCCAGGTTCAAAATGCCTAAGTTGCACTTCATAAAGACACATTTTAATAAATTAACATTTATTGAAAATACCACATTAGCCTTTATTTTGCTCATTTGCCCCAGTGCAAATTTAAGCTATTTAACATGTAAATTGTAATAACAGAACTGCAAGCAGCTTCATAAAATAAAAGACCAAATACAGTTATAATACAATCAGACTCTTTAATCTGGTGGGTAAGGAACAGTGGGGTGGAAGGGAATAATCTGTTTTAGGGTCTGATACACAACCTATCTTGTTGTTTTAACACATACATCTGTTATTAAAAGCCACCGATCAGCAGTATAACATGCATCTAAAAATTGACAATATTGGGCATCATCCATTAAATATACTATTTGTAGACAAGAATCATTAGGGATAGGAAAAGGATTAAAATAAAAAGAAAAGCACCAGGGCTCCACAGCCCTCCTAGAATGAAGTATTTTGCAGGGAAAGTGTAATGCCATTTGTCAGCGCTCTACTGCCACATGCCATAAGGACTAGCATTCGGTCCATTTCCTGCATATTTGCTGTAGAAATGCACTTCTTTGGAAAAGCAACCATCAAGGCTTTGCAAATGCAGGGTTACTTCAAACACCCAGCTTATTGGCCTGGGTGAGGACAACTTTCAGAACGGGCATGAAAGCAGAGGTCTCGCTGAAGTTGCTGGTGCTGACTATGTGCGTGTGGATGTTCAGTCCTTCCTGGTAGTTGTGGGTTTCAATGCTCTTCACAATGTTGTGCAAACCGCTAATGATGGTTGGAGAGAGCTGCAAGGAAGCCAGGCAAGGCAGGTAAGCAAAAAGAAAAAACAGCACAATACACTAGTGCTAGAAAAACAGAAATCCTGAGTGTAACATTTGGCCCTCAGGAAGGTGCAGCAATTAGTTCCTTTCTTTAAAGGCAGACATCTTCAGAGCTGCGCCATATTGGGAACAGTCACTGGGAAGTCTAAAAGCAGACTTCAACAAGAACATACCTTCTCTGCAGTACTGCAAAGCCCTGCAAGCCTTCACTACCAGCTCCTGGATGCAATTCCCTGAGGCGGGAGACCTGCTGTGACAGACTAGCACATGAAAAACCTACTGAGCTTTTATGCCTTTGGGGTAAAGTTAATTGCTCAGCAAAGATGGCCTGACAATGACAGGATCACACCACTCTAATCCTAAGGTACTAAGAGATCTAAGCCCAGTCTACCACAGACCTCCTGGAAGGCTTTGGAAAAATTACCAGATCTTCAAGAGTACTTGCACATCTGCCTTCCAGTGAAGTCAGTGAACCTCCAACATCTAAATCTTCTGCTTGCTTTTTTTTTGCTGCGTGTGTCTCACTTCGTACTGAGAATGGGGGAACTTGCTGTGTTGGCTCATTCTGCTAGCACCTGGGGCCAGGGACCCTGCTGATGCATTCATCCAGCATCTACCGCAAGGAGATCTGCTCTTTGGCTCAGCACAGTCCCTGCACAGCACAATAAAACTCATGACATGACCCCAAAACACTGTAAAGTCTGTACAGGCACTTGGGGCCAAGCACTCTACCTAGCTGTTTCTGGGAAATGCATGGAAACATACAATATATTGATTTGAAGCACACTTCCAAAGAAGGAACAAGCACCTGCTACATATTGCAGCAGGGTCCACACCACTGATGAAGTTCTTGGCCATACCTGCAGTATATGATGGGGTGTAAGGGGAAACGTAAAACAGAACTTACTGTCTGTTCCCTAAGTTTGTCATATAGAAACTCCAGGCGTTTATTTGCATCATCTAGTTTCCTCTTGGTTTGCTGAAAGAGAAATAAATATATTAAAACACAGTGATTTAAAGAACACCATACTGATCTGATAGCATTGCAAAGAGGTCCATGCAGCACATGAAATTCCTTTCTCAATATTTTCCTAACACATCATTTGAATTCTTTGCTCTGTACTGTTCTCCCCCGATTTTGGTAGGAAAGACCACGTGATATGACTGCAATTCTCTGCATGTAACTACTCCAGTTAGCTACAGAGAAAGATGAACTGTAAGGGTGCATCCCAAAAGCCACTGGTTATTTGTAAAACCCACTGGTATAACTGATATGGAAAGTAACAGAACTCTGAGTTGCAGCATGAATTTTTTTCTAGGGTTTACTGGCAAAGCCTAATGACAGCTTGATAAAGTTATTACTGGAATCAAGTATCCAGCAACATCAATGAGAGTGTAAGGGCACATGCAGTCACTGAAGTCTAAGTATGTACAACTCAGTCATCATTTATGGCAAATCCTAATTATATTTTTCATTATGTGATTAGTAAAAATAGGCATTTGTAAGTTGTTACTGCCAAGAGAAAAACTAGTAGCCTAACCCAAACTGTCCTTACAGATCCTTTGTGCTTCCATGATTTTATAGAGTAAACCACCCATTGATGTGTCTGGAATTATTTTGCCACCAAAGGCTCTTAAAATAACTCCAGTATATTCCACCGGGAGTGCCACAGCAGCTGCTGGAGAAATGCATTTTTATCCACCTTTTTTTTTTTTTTTTAGACAAACAGCTACAGAAATTGAAGATTTTAATCCAGAATAATAAAACAGTAATAAAGCATCAAGGTTACAATTACAGAAGCACAAAAAAGAAGGTGGTCAACAGCAGTAGAAATGCTATCAGTGCACAAGAGTAATGAAACTTCCTCCTAAATCAGTATGCACATCAATCTATCTTCACTTAGGATAGTACCATTTCCCCTGGCAAATGGAAGATGTTTCCCTGGATTAAACAATTGCCTAGAGAGAAAATAACAAAGCCTATGGGAATGCTCTAGCTCAGGGGTACAGGCAGACTTGTGGCTGCCTGCTGTGCTAGAAATTAGGGAAAGCTGTTTGGATGGCAAAGGGCATAAAGGAGAACACAGCACATGGATCTCAGGCTATGTGTGGAAAACCCCTCAGCAGTAGCTATATGTCAAGGAACTGAGACAAATAAGGAAAAAGTACCCCAGGAGGAACAGATAAGAAACTGGCTAGTTCTTTTGGACTCGCTAACTCTCTCAGATACATGACTTCAGAACATTTGTTTCAAAACCTGTGAAAAGACATACATGCTATTTTCATTTTACAGATGGCCAACTAGGGCAAAGAGGAACAAATTGTGTTTAGTAAACAGCAAGGCATCTCTCCAGCCAAAGGAAATTGGGTGGAAGAAGCGCAAACTGGTTGTTCTCCTCACTCTTTGCTTCCTGTTCCCATTTCCCCCTTTAGAATGTAATAACAGAGTAGTGTCTGCATTTGTTCTGACAATAACTGATGCATACAGTCAGGGCGGTGTGTCTCAGCACTGCGTGCCACAAACACTTGCTCTGCCTAAGAAAATCAAAGAGACTTAACAAGAAGCAAGCAAAATGTGTTGGCAGAGCAGAAGAGCAATCCCTGGATGCAGACGTGAACTGAATGCTTTTGCCTTCTTTGTGTATCTGGGAGGAGCACTCAGAGGAAGAAAAGGTCAAAGGGTCCATGCAGTATATGACTTCTATCCCTGCATTCTACACAGCCTAACCTTTAAAGAAAGGATTTTGAGCCATCGAATGCTGCTGAACCTTATGAGGTCTGTCCAAAGAAAGGTCTATGGCCTCAGAAAGCTTCTGTAAAGGAGTACATGGGCAAGTCCACCCTGAAACTGCTGGGCTGAGACCCACAGGGGAAAGGAGTATGTACATGCAAATGTCAAGTCTAAACCACAGAGCCAGCTGAAATTGTACAGCGGACATAAGACAGAAGCGACACCGAATGCCCAATATACTCCCACAGCCATTGCCACAGAGCCCTCAGACAGCTCAGCTCCCAGTCACCGTAACAGGAACGTGAGGCTGTGCTGCTGACCAAGCACATTCAGCACACAATGCCCTCTGCACACAACCAGCCTGTCTTTCATCATCCACCTTTCAGCGTGTGGCAGGCATGAGCTGAATAGTCAGCATCTGGGCTTTGGGATAGAGTGTTATTTACTGACCATTGGAAATAAATGAGAAGCTTTGAGACAGATGGCTCATTTACGAAGTACTGACTGCCACAGGAAATGTTTTTCCTATCCAGCTCCAGTGGTCACGTTAAAGCTCATAACCTTCCACTTCTCTGCTACCCATTGTTTCCTTTTGAAATGAGTTTGCTATCAGAAATCACAAATCACAGATCAAAATCCAAGGCATGTACTCACGTATGTGAGCCTTGGCTCACACCTGGCATAATACCAGCTGCTTCCTGCTCTGAATTATAAGAAGCAGTTAAGCAAATGTGCAGGGCATGCCTCCATAGTAATCACACTCAGGTGAAGGAAGGACAGCCCTTTCTGAAGGTTTTAGAATTTTTAACTTTATTTTTATTTTTTTTAAACCATCAACATCAAAACCTCAACTGTAACCAATTCCAACCCTCCTCAGAGCAGCAGAGGAGGCTGCAATGGGTTAATTCCCTGCCCATAAACAGCACCATCATGCGCTGCCCATGCTGTGTGCTATAAGGACCAGAGTCAAAGTGCTCAGGCAACTGTGCTGTGCTCTGGCCCCAAACTGCCACATCCTATGTGCATATGGCTTTTCTACACATTGTTTGTGGCTGCTTGAAGCAGCCTTTAGAAGGAAGAAGCCATCTCAGGAGAGGCTGTGATGGCTAGCTGTGCTGCAGGTACCAGCTCATTCACCCAAACACAGAGGCTGGGAACACCACAAAGACCTACCGGATCAGAGGCAGACAGCAGGCACCTCTGGATAAGAGCTTCAAACGTAGTCTTCAGAATAAGGTGCTCCTCAGGGATGGGCTTCTTTGTAATCTTCTCTGTTGGGAGTGCCTGCACATGCTGAGAAACAGAGCAGGTGAGGCTTTTCCAGGTCACTGTGACCATATGTAATTTTCAACTAAACCAAGTGGCATTATTAACCAGGTTGGCACAACTCCTATTTCTTCCCTGTGGGTGTGTGGAGGTGACATTATCAGCATCTGCTGTTGCTCCCTCTGAAGAGCTGTGAAGTTGCAGAAGGAAGCAGCTTGTTGGTCCACACAAACTAGAGCATTAACTGCAAAGAGGTAGTGTCTAGGCGGAGACTATAGTAGCAAAATGCCAGCATGGTGCAAAACTAGCAACTAAAAACTCTGCAGTACACTTTGGAGGTACTAGAAATGCCTGGCCAATAGGATCCCAGCCTGCAGGGCTCCGCTGATGTACAAACAAAAAACATGCAATGCTGGGGCTACATTACCTGGATGGCATTGCCAATTGGGGCCCCAGGGGCCCCCTCTGTGCTGGGTTTGGAAACAGTGGGTGGCATGATGCATGGCCCCAGAGGCTGGGAAGCAGGTGGGTAGCCACCCTGCAGCACCAGCTGTCCTGCAGGGAGGTGCGGAGGCTGGAAGCTGGGTGCAGCTGTGGGTGGTGCTGGAGCCGGAGGCTGCTGCATCTGAGACTGTGGATCTGCCAGCGGGTTCATGATGGGGGAGGTGATGGGAACCGGGGGCAGGAAGTTATCAGGGACCTGGGGAAAAAACAAACAGTGCATTTATGCTGCCATGGCTGCCACAGGCAGAGCACAATATGCAGCTCCTACAGACTTCCCAACCCGCAGCAATTGAGAGCTCTGCCAAGCAGAGTGCTGAGCCCCCAGAATATAGAAATAATGGGTAGGCAATACAGCATTTCACTGTGGCTAAACAAACCTATTCCTCTGGCTGCAGCTGCAGAGTAAGAAGTGCCCTGGTGCAGTAATATCCTCCAGTGTTTCCAGTCCTGTGCACTCTGCCTGTCCTCGTGCCCGTGCAGGGCAGGAGCAGCCTGCTCAGCCTGCAGCTGGCCACAAGAGCTGATTACAGCCACCTCAAATCAGAGCCACTCTCCTTCTGCTAAGGGCACAAACCAGAGGTTTGGCAGACCAGCACTAACAGAAGAGTTGCACTAATGAAAACTAACACACGCCTACATCTATTCTTACTTACTATTGGGTCATTATATTTAGATTTTTGTGTCTCCCTTTCAAGGGTACATTTTTTTTTGTCTGTGCAGTACACAGGTCACAGCTAGCAACACACAACAATAAAGCTTCTGAAAGCCTTTCAAGCTTCTGGCAAACAGGTTTGTGCTAAGACAGATTATGAGCACATTTCAGATTCATCCCTAAGCATCTGCCAGTCTTTACACAGGGGCATTTTGGAACTATTTGGTACAGGGAAGAAACAACAGAATGAGGTACTGGCCTCTGCTGTGCATCATACAGTAATCCAAACAAAAGAAAGAGCTCCCATGGGAAGACACACATTTCTTTGGGCATGCATAGAAAAAAAGGAAAGATTACAGAACCCTGAATGCTACCCTGAATGAATGATGCCAGAATTAAGCTAGTGGTTTGGCACAGCAAGAAAAATATTCCCAATGCAGCACCAAAGTCAGTTATAAAAGCAATGAATCACAACAATAAACTTTTGAGTGGTGGATAAGTTCTTAGGTAGAAAACAATTGCAAGTTATGCTGTGGCTTGAAATGCCAGATGGTTCTTCTATTTTACAACAGTCCACGTAGTGAGTCATTTTATAATATCCTAAACCACAACATACAGTGGACATAAGGGAAACAAACAGAAAAATTTCTGACAGAGGTTTGTTATATACCCAACAGGGAATGCAACAAACACAACTCCTCATTTAGAAGGGAGCCAACCCTCAAACCCTGGCTATAGCAGAAATTCTGGCTGTGACACACACACACAGCAGTAGCAAAAACCCTGTTTGCAGAAGACTGCTTCTTGAGCTCTCAGGTCCAGCAGTTATTCTCACTGACAACTTCCCTCCTTTTACTTAAGAGCCTGAAGCCCCAAAAGGCAGCATGCCACCTGCTGTGCAACAAACATCCCAGCACTCAGGAGCACACAAAGTATCCCCTATCCATCCCCCAAAAGCTTCTTCATCTTGAACTGCAGAGACCAAAATCCAAAGGGTAAAGGAGACTTCTGCCTTAACCTTCACCCAGACCTTATCTTGCCTGGTCCAACTTTTTTTTTTTTCTCCCCATGCTTTACACACTCCAGACTAACTCTTGCTTCCCAAATGCACCAGGATCAGCGAGCAGTGGATGACACTGACTGCTGTGGAGATATGCAAGACTAGGGCAGCACCAAGGGATGAAAAGGCTCACTCTGCACCAAGTGTCCCCAGTTATTCTGTCCTGCTGCAATCTAAAACCGTTTTACAAAACTACATTGTCTCCATCACAAAAATTGTCTTACTCTTAGCAGATCTCTCAGGGTCAAACCCTTAATCAGGATAAATTGCTTTCAGCTCCAGCAAAGTCAGTAATCTATAACAATTTGCACAGCCTCATCATTTCGCCTAAGTATCATCTCCTGCAAAACTCATCAGCTTTACTGCAGATGAAAATAGTCTGAGGTATTTTCTTCCCTCAAACCAGGATCAATGTTGTTATTAACAACCACAACTTTAGCAAAAAGCCACTGTCTCTTTAGAGGCTTAAATATTTTGAGAGAGATAATGCATACTGGAGAGGCATAAATGCCATTTCTGCTCATGAGGTGCAGCTTTTGTTTGATGCTAACCCTTCTTTTTCCTTCTCCTGCCAATACGTTTCCCAGGAGCAGCTTAAGTTACTACTTTTCAAGTGGTCAGCACTCAATTGTGTTGAGACAGGATTTCCTAGATTACCTTCTTCTTCTTGGCAGCTCTGTTCAGGGCAGGAGGGTCATTCCAGCCATTCTGAGGCCCTGTAACAGAAAGAAAACAGAGACCATAAGTACCTCAGAGGACAGTAGTGATGCTTGCTTGAGCTCAGCTGGGCTATCTCCCTGCCACAGCTCTGATGGCAGGGGCTTGGCAGAGCCTGTCCTCACCTGCCTGCTCCTCTGCCCTTCACTGGGGGCCAAAACAGCTCCTGCACTAGCCAGAGCATCCCAATACCCCAACCATCAGACCCTTTGGGCTCTGTGCCCACTGCACAGGTTTGGCATCTTGATCAACTGTTCTCAAGTTTGACAGAAGTTGATTCCTTTTTTTTTTTTTAATAATTAACTTTTTCTTCTCTTGCAGGAAAAAAAATAATCTTTGAGCAGACATGCCCCCTTTGAAGGGGCAGGCAGTTGCCTACCATGCCAAAAACACAGTTCTGCTACACAGACTGTATATGTGAAGACAGTTTCAGTTACCGGTGAAAGATTCTCCCATCTGTATGATATGAGAAGAAATGAGAACTTGTTTTGAACTTGTGATTGCATCCTGTGATGGATTTATACATGACAGTTAAGACGTGTTCCCCAGCAACACAACACAGAAAGAAGAGGTAAATGAGGCAACAGGAGCCTTAAACATTTCAGGCCAGATTCACCCAACCACCCTGGACACACAAAGAGCCATAAAATCAGGTTTCCCCTGCCAGCTACAGCATATTTATGGGTGCTTTGTGTCCCAAAAGCAGAGCACAGCTGCTGGAGCAAGGTGGCAAGATCTAGCTTTTTGCACCAAGGGCAATTTGTTTGAAACTGGAAGAAACAGAGGATGTCTGAGCAGATTCACTCAGAGTCCGGAGTGTTGTTCGGTACCAAACCTTCTGCTCTTCCAAGAAAGCACACTCCATGCAGCTGCAAGATTTGTACACCAAAGCTCACACCAGTGCATTAGAAATAGCTCCACATCTCATCACAGAGCGCATGTAATCAGGACCAAAGCATTATAGCTCAGCATTACTGTGGCCTTGCCAAGTAATCAGGATTTATTGCACAAAGCCACAAAAAGCCAACAAAACCAAATCCCTGCTCAATGGACTTTTTCACCACAGTGTTTTTCACTTAGCAGATGATGAATTCACCTTAGACAGCAGAGCTTAACATCACTGCAGAATTTGCTCAATTTATCTGAAATTTCATTTGCTCCTGAGCTTTTGTTAAATGAGTTCCAGATCCAGAGCATGTTAAAGGGGTAAATGAAAAACAATTTAAACCCCTTTTCACATCTGCTTTCTCTTGAACAAAAGGCAGTGCCTTCTCCAGACAGCCATGTGCCCCAGGGGCTCCTCTGTTCCACCCTATCCAGAAAATCCTAGAGTATTTCTGATACAAAAAGTCTAACTTCTGCAGTGCTTTTAGCAATAACATGTTAAGAAAAATCTCCCAGACTATTACTGCTTTAATTCCCTGGAACAATTTGCTTTAAAAAAAGGAAAACCAGGCATTTGTTTCTGTGGTTAAAAACTCCAGATATTGTTGTTATTGGTTTTAATTAAGGAATTAAAAATTGATTTGATTAAAGTCTAAATGGGCAAACGGCATCACATTTAATGTTCTCTGAAGAACATATACATTATTGATGTCTGTTCAATTAATTTCATGTAGTGGCTATAATTATTTTCAGGTTAGGTGGTACCTAGTTCACCTGCGAAGGGAGAGGCCTGGTCTTGAGTTGGTAGGCTTTCTGCAGATAAAATGCAAAGAGAACTAAAAAAAGATTTTCTTTGAAAATAAAACAGTTGATCTGTAATTTTTGATTAGCAATTTAGTTTCAATAAGCACAAGAAGTTAGGAGAAAAAATGCCTAACCTAATTACAATGCCAGTTTAGAGACAAGCCATTTGTCCAAACTACCCTGTGGAACTGCTTTTGTCTACCTTCCCTGAAAACAAGCCTGTTGCTCTTTCTATGCAGTAAATCAGTGTTTCTAGTTGTTTCTAACAATTGTTGCAGAGTCCTGGCCTACTTTCTTATCTCTTCCGGTGTTCTTATTTTCTATTCCTAGCAGCCAGTGCAGCCGACAGACCATTACTCTCAGCAACAATCTTCTCACTGTCTTTTTACTATTCCAGAAATCTTTCCAGGAGATGCTTAAAGTACCTGACTTCAAGGTGGATGTCAAGTACTTTCCCAAATCAAGGTGTACACTCAACTGCATCCAGCCAAGCAAAAAAAAAAAAAAAAAAAAAAAAAAAAAAAGGAATGTTCACACAGCAGCTTCACACCCATGTGAAAAGACACATTGCTTGCTCAGACTGAGCAACAAACCAAAATGGCTAAACACAGCCAATAAAGCCTTTGGCACTTCAAAGAGAAGAGGAATGTCAGGGATGAGAACTCCTGTCCCTGGGGTTGGTCTGATACACTTACAGTTCTGGTGGAAACCCTTCCCTTAAGCTCAGAATTGCTCTATCACAACTTAAAACAAGATTCAGAAGACTGAAAATTAAAACTCCCTTGAAAGCAGGTTCAAAGATCTATCACAAAAAGTGAGATAGGTTGAAAATGAAATTAAATGTGGGCTTTTCTTGCTTACTGGAGCTCCAAGCACAGCTTAATGTACTGATGTTATATGCACTTGCAAAATCCAGAAGATACTTACAGAACTGTTTCTTTTTGAAGTGCATCTTTAAGCCCAAGCCAGTTCAAAGGTCAGGTGCTTTTCAAAACTTCAAATTTGACATATTTTTTTCCTTCCTCCCTTACCCCCACCTCTAAAGGAATTACATTTGCAAAGTGAAACATGCTGTCCCCAGATTAGATCATCACCACACACAAAAGCACACCACTTCAAAGCCAAGATCAGCATCACTATATGCTCTGCACTGGAACATTCAAAGAGTTATAGGTGAGATCTACTTCTGGTTGCAGATTTCTGTAGTTCTATGGGATCTCATGCCAATGCGTCCTTCACTAAGCAGTGCAGCTACTCTGGAAAATATGTTGGTGGTTAAGCATATTAAGCATGTACACTGTCATTTCTGCATTTACAAAGCAAGGGTTTTTTCCTTCTTGTTTATATGTTTTTTAAAAGGTGTTATCTAAAAATTGGAAGAGGACAGAGTGTGCTCTTCAGATACCTCTTATCTTTTTTCCATAGTTCTCCAGCTGCAGGCAGCAGTTGCATGCCAGCAGCCCACACGCATGAGCCACATGGCCTCGGCACCTCACCATGCCCTGGAGTCCACCTCTGCATTTCAGCCCAAGGCTGGTGTTTGCCAGGATTCAGAGATGATGCCCAAGTTTGGGTTCCTGAAGGTTTGACACTTTGTACTGGCTGCCTTCTCACCACAGCTGCTGGGAAAAACACAAGCAGCACCGATAATTCTCAGAAAGTTTTATAAAAAGCCTAGTATGGACAACTTAATTTTGTAAGGAAATCTGGCAAGGCAATGTGGATAACGACTGCCTCAATTCCCCTGATATTAAAATGACATAGGCAAGATGTGTTAGACTACTGTCTATGTGGATTACACAATTTTAATGACAATACCGGTCGATTTGTAATGTCCCTGATTTCTATTATCCAGAGTACATAGCTTCACTTCTCTGAGCACACCACATGGACTACGTCACTTCACTGTCAACGCAAGAAACTTAGTAAGTGACAGATCTGAAGAGCCTGCCAGTGACGCAAGTAGAGTAGTAAAATGGATAAGAACAAACAATTTTCTTGCATTTATTTGGAGGTGCAGAAGCTATGCTGTCTGAATTTTAATGTGCTGCTTCACATCCCAGGCCTAGAACCCTATCCAACACCTGTTCCTCTGTCCAATTTAATAACTCTTCCGGCTTAGAGATACAAGTTTGACATGCCCTGCCACATGGGGTGAGGAGAGGTCACAGTACAGCATGTCCAAGAACAGAGAGGACACCAAATCTGGCTGCAGGATGAAAGGAAAAGCCCTGGTGGCTGCCCTACACTAGTCCTCTCTATTTCTTGACAGAGCAAAAGACCATTTCTCCCCAAAACATAAGCATGTGTGTAAAGGCAATGCCATGAGAGGTGTAGGCTCCTAGCCTCATGAATGCCCGGAGCACCTACTCATAGGACTGCTGCTGCCAAGATATAAGCAATATGCCTTTTCTGCACTGCATCACCCCTAAGAGACTTTTAAAATGAGAGGGGGAGTCACAGTGGTGTCATTTGGGCCTGTCAGCTGAGTCAGCATCCCTGGAACATCCCTCAAATCGTGCCTAATATTCCCTCTGCTCCCTACTTCCCAGATCAGGTCCTTGACTCTCCAGCTGGACCAACTGGATGTGAAGTATGTTTATGGCCAGGTTTAGAAAAGGACCGCTCATACTTCCTGCATAGTCTGACATAAGCAAAGCTCTTGTTTCACAGGCTGCTAAGTGAAGAGACAGGTTTGTTATCACAAGCGAGGTCACTGTCCCACAGCAAACAGTTATGTCCAGACAGTCACAAGCAGACATTAAGCCCCAACTCCGTGCATGCCCTCTCACCATGCGTGCTCAAACATGCTTTTATATGTGTCAGCCACACACACGCTTTTAAAGAACATTCAGGAAAGAAACCTGTAAAAGCATTTCTAAATAACTTCTGATTATCTTTTAAGGCATTCACAGCTACAGTAAATCCTATCACACTAAGCGGTTAGAAAAAAAATAATGGAAGTAAGCTGATGCCACAGGAAATGCTGTTTGAATTAAATACACTGCCAATCCCAGGCTTGAAATGCTGCTCAAAAACCAGGGACACAGGGGCAAATTACATTTGCAAAGTTGTTCTGCAGAAATTGGGATCATCTTCTCAGTAGCGATTAGGAAAACTTGCTCATTTTTATATTTTGCTCTCCAGCCACATAGCTGGTTTTGATGCCAGCCTCACAAGGTTAAAACTGTGCCACCATCCATCCACAGTACATGACAGCCTCATAGCAAGACAATGCTGTAGCACCCTGTCTTGGGCAAGACAAAAGCTGTGTTTGTGGCAAGGTCTCACTTGCAAGAGAAAGACGACTGTTCATGCTGCTCAGCAAGTGCTCACCGCAGCAACATAGCCATATTATTGCCAGATGCACAGGGAAGATGTGTTTTAGAAATGCTTTGAATTGACTTCTAAGCAAAAGCAAACTTTGTACAGAGCATTCACAAGGAAAAGGTGCACATTTAACTGAGTGAGTAATAAAGCACCCCCCCCGCCCCCCGCCTGCCCCCCTGTCCAAGCGCAGACCTGTTCTCTGGGATGCAGGAAGCTCACTGGTTGCAGGCAGAGTACCTGTTGGTCCAGCAGGTAATGCATAAGCCACAGAAGTTGCTGGAGGTCCTGGCCTGCCATGCTGAAAGGATGCAGCAGAAGGAGGAAGAGGGAAGGAAGAGATGGGATTCAGGCTTGTTGGGGAGGGTTGAGGCTGCCCAGGGTAGAGCGGGGAGGGCACGGAATGGGCAGAGGCAGAGGGCAGGTAGGGAGTCGTGGTGTTAGGGGCAGGGTTTGGGTAAGAGGCTGAAGAAGGGACAGCGATAGGCTGCTGAGGCTGGTAGAGAGCTGGTCCCCCTGTTCCACAAGAGTACTGCTGTGTGGCCTGATATGCTACAAACAGGGAGAAAAGACATTCAGTCAGTGAGTTCATAACAGAGAAGGTTTCATCTGCCTCTGCTTCCTTCTTCACCTGACTCTCCTCTCTTCCTGCCCCTTCCCCCTCAAACCACTTACCAGCCTAGCCAATTCCTGGCTCCCACAACCCTGCCTGCACTTGCAGGACTGCTCAAAAACTCAGCCTGCCACTGGTAGTGGGAAGGCAGAGAAAGGACTACCTTGGCTGTAAGGACTCCCATTCTCCCTCACAGACTCTCCTGCTCTGGCTGTTTTCTGGACCACTGCAACCCTCACTGTGCCTCTCAGGGAAGGGAAATGCCTGCCACAGGTTTGCACAAAGGGAAAGCCTAGGCCAAGGAAGTGAACAGCAGTCTGGAAGTGAACAGCAGTCTGGAAGTGAACAGCAGTCTGGAAGTGAACAGCAGTCTGGAAGTGAACAGCAGTCTGGAAGTGAACGCAAGCTCACAGCCTTTCACTGGGGGCTCTGCAGCTTAATTTCACTGCCTCTTCTCTGCCCACCTATGCCCATTTTTTCCTCCCCAGTGCCTGCACCTTCAGCCCCCTGCTTTGAGTGTGTCAGTGCTCTGCCCCCTTTCCTCACTCACCTCTACTACTGCCCTTGTCTCCTCATCCCCTTTCCCATCTTCATGAAGTCCCAATAAGAACTGGGTGGCCCAGCCAAACACAGATGAGTTGGGTCCCTCATTGCCAGGTCTGTGCTGCTTCTCCAGGACTCACACTGGAGTTCTGGCTTGTTCTGACCCCAGCACACCCTTGGGAAGGGCCAGCTGAGGAGTGAGTCTCAAAGCTGCGGGCAGACACCTTCTCAGCAGAGGAGACAGTGTCTGACAGAGGGTGCCTGATGTCTGGACCCCACCAAGAAATGACAATCCTTAGATGTCATCTCAAGAGCTTCCTCCCCACCCACACCCCCAAGAAACATGGGACTGGCTTGGTCTGAACCCTCCCAACCCCAAGGAGGGATCTGGCTATCCCCAGGTAAATGTGGCCTCATCACCTGGCTGGCCCACCTGGGTGGGAGGGAGAGGGGACCTGCTGCTACTTACTCTGTGGGTACGTTGGCCGGGCCCCTCCTTGTGAGTACATGCTGTAATTGGAAGATGTGGCTTGCTGCGGTGGCATGTTGGGGTTAACAGCACCTGGCATGATAAACCCTGGAGCAGGTGGGTTGTCTCCCTGTAAAAAAAGATTGCAGGAAAAAGGGTAGGGAGAGATAGGATTTAGTCAGCAACAGTAATACAGTGCTGAAGCAGAACTGTAACAAAACGATGAGTTCACATTGGAATGAAACCACATTCCCTGGAAGAGCCACCAGCACAGGGGCAAATGCCTCCAACCACTCCAGTGCCTTAGGGCACCCAGTGTAACACTGAAAGCACAGCTTGTGTGTGCAGTGACTTCAGCAGCAGCAGCAGAGCAGCACATACCTTCCTGCACAAGGAATAGGTCCCCTGCCAGTGCTGCCTGTTATTCAGGCAGTCTAAGAGCACACTGTCATCCACAGCTTTCAACTAAACAACTTAAACATTAACTCTGAAGCTTCAAATTTCCATGGGAAAGAGGGAAAGGAAAAATATCATCACAATTCAAATATTCCAGTGTGGGGCAAGGGCTGGGGGGGCTCAGGTCACACTGAGCTCCCACTCAATGAATTCCAGAGCCATTCATCTGGGTGTTGGCGAAAAAAAATAAATGTAACATGAGACACAGAGGAGCAAAACCACAACACACGTGGAAGCACGTGGAAGCTGCTCCTTTTGTCTATCCATACTAGACTGTGTCAAGCACACAGACTATACCAGGGGACATATTGGGGTGGAGCAGGGGCTCAGAGAGGAATAATGAAGGTTATACCTGTGTGTCAGAGGGACAGCCTGCAGGAGGATGGCTGGGAAGGGCAGTAGGAGTTTTGTTACTCCAGGTAGTGACAGTAGGGGCAATTCTAACCTGAATCGAACAAAGAAATACCAATCATGGAAAACAAAACAATAAAAAAGTCTAAAGGGTTTCACAAAATGAGATGCAAAGAAGTGAACACAGAAAGATTTGCATGCTGGCACTTGTAACACAGCCATAAAATTGCAGAGGAAGAAGGAAGAGTGCATTCAAGACAGTCGAAATCACTGTGCACTGGAGCTGAAGTGAATTGCAGAGTGAAGACGAAGCACAGCAGAGACGCAGCTACAACAGGCTGTGGAGCAAGTGCAGTGTTACACGTGCCAGTGAGCCAGGTCTGCCTCTTTCATCACATTTTCCTATTGCAGAAGCTCCCCCCAGGCTACTGCATGACACTGAGCATCACTAACCACAGCTCGAAGTCCCAAGTTCCATGTTAAATTCGAACATACTGCCTCACACAAAAGCAGTTTGTTTAAATCAAGCTTAAGATGGAATTAAAAAAAAGGTTAAAATCTGATACTCAGCTCTTGCACATGCACAAACATACATCTTAATGCCAACTGCTTCCCAGCCAGTCTCCCACAGCTCCTTTGCTCTATCTTCCTTCTTTGCCACTCCAAAGCCCTTCAGTTCCATATGATCACTACTACCTTTCTGACTGGACAGAAACCAAGAACCTCCTACGCCTATGACATCTCTGAGCAAGGAGGGCATACTGCCCAGCAGTGGGATGCATAGCCAGGGTCAGGACACCCCACCTGAGCACAGTCAGAAGGAAAGCTGCAGCCCTGAAGTCCTGGTTGGCTCAGCTGGCTTCAGTCTATCCGTCTCTAACCCCGCGTAAGTGCTGGGCTAATGGTGCAGTCAGCTGTACAACAACCACTGTTAATGTCTCCATAACTCATCACTGGCGTCATCTAAAAGACTTTTCCATCCCTTTTCATGCCTGTTTTTTTCAGATGAAAAGAGGGTTCAAAAAGCTATGCTAAAAGGAAACCAAGTTTTAAATACGTGTTCCTATTTGGGACAGCAATTAAACAAAGGCTGCCTCAAGCTTGAACAAGCCCTACGTATGCACTTTCTTAAAAGGAGGTCAAATAAAACAAGTATCCTAAGACTCGAATATGTCATTTCTTTCCGTTCTGGTTCATCAGCATACTGCTGGGCACCTTTCTGACATGGCACCTGTCCCTTCAAGCCCTTCCTGCTGAGCATGAACTCCTGTAAAGCCAAGAACACAGGGGGTAACTCACTTGCAGTGTGCTCGTGGGGTTGTGATACACCCAGACTTTTATTAGTGAGCAGGGTTTGCTTAAATAATAGCTTGAGGCATTCCTGAAACAGTAGGAGAAAGAGGGTACTCTGGTTTAAAAAGCATTGCTAAGATCACGCCATCTAGAGGACAGTTGCTATTTTCCATCGCCAAACAGGAAACCTGCAGCATTGCTTCTCAAGGCAATTCATTGGTTACAAGGAGGAAGGTCAAAGACACAGGAAAGAACAGTAAATTATTGACAACGATGCATTTAAAATCATATGCAATAGCGTTAGCAAAGTAATCCTGTATGAACAGGATGAAGGCTTTGTCCCTTCCGAAATCTACCTTGTTAACACCATGGAGAGAAGGTGAAGGTACACACAATTGTTGACATCAAGAGGGAGAGAACAAAGCCCAACTCTCCCCCACTTTTCAGCCCTTCTTCCTTCCCGCCCCCATTTTTCTGGCAGGCAGTGCTTGAAGGGCAGCACTGACAGAGACATGCCTCTGCTTGTGCCAATCTCCTCTGTGTAAGGAGAACACCTGCAGCACTAACACAGCTCTGCTCTCAGAAAAGCCCAGCCCAGAGCCCCTCTGTAGAGCAGGCCCAGATGAGCTCCAGCACTGTGCAGAGGGATTAGGGACTTGGCAATGCTCTTTAAGCATGCATACAGCCAGGGCTGCCCACCGCACCACACTCTGGTGATGGCCAACATGGTCTGATGCAGTGTCATCCTCAGGCTAGAGATAAGACCAGGGCATCTGCCTCCGCCATTTCTCTTCTTCCTCCCTGCACAGGCCCCAGCTCCTTTATTAGTTCCATACTCACCAGGTCTTTCTTCTGGCAGAGCTCACTCTTACCCCAGGCCTGCCTCACCTCCTGCCCGTGCTGCCTATGCCCCCTTAAATGCAGCTGGGAAGGTGTTTTCCTAGTAGGCTGTAACCACAACTGCTGAAACATGCCCTGAAGTTTGCTATCGCCACTGCTCTGCAACTTCTACAGCCAACATCAGAGCTGGGGTAGGGGAAATAATCAGCCCCAGAAGAGGGTGGTGAGCAACACTGAGCAAGCTCCAAGGCCTGCAGGGATGGGACAACACCAGGGACTATAAGAGCAAGCACAGAAAAATCCTGCAGTGCTCTCCCACACAGTCATTCTTGGCACTGAAGCCCATTTTCAAACAAAGGGGGAAAACACCTAATCTTCAGAAGCAGGCTACTTGACAAGGTATTTAATGGATGTTTCCAGATGAGGAGTAAAGTAGGCATCTGTACTGATTGAAAAGCAGCACCAATGACTTTCACCACAAGGCTCTTGGTAGAAGTCAGTCATACAGCCCCAGCTCAGATCAAGAGAAAGGAAAAAAAATTCCTCTCTCCATCACTCTCCAGAACTCAAGCACCATGTCCCTCCCTGACTGCCAAAACCCATTTACCTGTTGGTAATACTGCTGGGCCGGAGCCTGGGGCCCTTGCATCTGTCCAGCCACAGGGGCAGCTTGTCCTTTGGGCATGGGCTGTCTCTCATATGGTGCCTTTAGGGCCTCCTGTCCCACTGGGAGCTCCCCTTGGGCTCTGCAGAGCCTGTCCCGTAACAGTATGATGTTTGGCTGCAATCAGAAGAGGACAGCAAAAGAAGGTTAACTGCACTGCCTGTCACCCAGTGCATCACACCAAGAGGCTGACTGGCCACACACTCTCTCAGAAGCCTGCTCTGCTTTGATTGGAGTAAGTCTTCTGCATGAGACATGGGGCCATTGGAACTGCCTTACATGTGCCTGCCTCCCATGTTGGGCTGCATCACTCCCAAGCCAGCCTGTCTACAAATACCAGCTGATAGAAGATGAGAGATCTAAAGAAAACAACCAACCAAGTGTCAAGGTACATGTTTCACTGTGTCTGGCTTGCAGGAGGGACAGCTGCTCCTTTGGAAGCCACTGGCTGCAAGGACAAGGGTGTGAAACAAAGGGGGAGAACAAGGCTCTGTACTTCTGCCAGGTCAGTGAGGCCAATGCAGGGAGACGGGAAACAGCCTGACCATCACATCCAGAGGTGCATTTCAAATGGCAGTCCTGCTTGCTAACGGCATCATGCAGAGACCTTTGCTTGAAGTACACCTGTTCACACAGAGAGAGAGTAAAAACACCTGAAGGCCCTGTACCTGGTTGGTGTTTGCAGGGAGGAAGGTCAAAGCTGCAGCAATGCTGCCTTGGGCAGCCAGGAGGTTGGCGTACTGGCTCATCTTCTCAGCCAAAAGGGCCCCCACAGCATTAGGGTCCACAGCCTGGGTGAGCTGCACGGCTTTGCGCAGGATTACAACCTTCTCTATTAAATCCTGGAAAATCAGGGAAAAAACCACAAGTGAGAACAACAGGGTGAAGCAGGCCCTGGCTAACGACTGTCGTGGAGGGCTTTTCCTCAGGGCAGCCCTGCAGAACCCCTCTCACCTGTCAGGAAGCCCAAGCCAAGTCCAGGTTTCCCAGACAGTAACAGCTGCACTGACGGCATGACTCTCCTAGCATGTGAGACCACAGAACAGCAACTGCACACCAAGTGGCTTCTAACAGCAAAGCCAGCAGTGCATCAGGTAGAGTTCAAAGCCAAAAGAATTGCTTTTATTAAGCAGGATTTCAGGGCCCTACCAGCACTTCGCATATCCACCAAAAGAGTATGCTTTCATAAAAATATCTGGTGAAAGCCATGAGAGCAAATGGAAAACATCATGCCCATCACTACTATTAGCACTTGGGTGCCATACATTTGTTTGCAGCATTTTAATAAATCAGTTCTTAACCATCTTAATCAAAAGGATCTAACAACTCCCTTGGGAGAGTTGTCTATGGTTTTCTGGTTGTTACTGCAAAAATGGTTTTCCTGATATCCACCACGAACACTCTGTATCTTGCCTTCCTTGCACATCTCCAAATACTAGAGCTGGTCTTGGTTGGCTTTTCTCCTAGTGCTAAGTTACAGGAACATTTTCTAGTCAGTTTTCTCATGTTTTCTTACTCTCACTGTATTATATTGGAAGATACTACAAATACTCATTTGCCAATATTAACATGCAATCCCCATTTAAAATCTTGTAACAGATTTAATGAGTGTACCACACACGGGATTTCAACCATACATCACTAATAAGGACTCTTTACTGGCAGTTCGATAATACATTTTTGTTTTTCCCCAACAAATCAGCACTTCAAAAGAGGCAAGTAAAAAAAAAAAAAAATCAAGATAACCAACAGCTTCTATGAGTTTCAGCAGTTCCACATTATAGTAAATAAGCAGGCTAATTATGACTCCAACTGTATTTTTCAATTTTAGTGTCCATGAGAGCAAAGCAATGCAATCAAAATGCAAATTCAAACTGAAGGCAAATCTGTTAAAGCCCTCACAATCAAAAGACTGGAAAGTAATTTTGATAATTCAAAACTGGAGAGAATTAATAATGCAAAGCAAAACTCACATACACTCCAGTTCCTTCAATTAACTAAAGAGACTCACAGCACTGCCAGGTAACATTAAGTACTTTCTAAAACTGGTCCTTCAAAGGCCCTGAACAGATGGAAGAAACTAAGATTCTACTATAAAATAAATTATTCCATAATTGCTTCATCTAACTGTCATCAATCCTATGCCCCCGAGTATTTGCTATATGCAGTATATTTCACTGCTGGAAACCAAACCCTGTATGTGTAACCCCCCTAGAGAAAACTCTCATGATAACCTTCATACAGTTTTCTCTCCAGATTTAATTCTAATTTACTAGATTTTCTCCCTTGAACATCTAAGCCATCTCTTCCAAAAGCGCAAACGTCCAAGCATTCCCCTATTGCAAAAGATGCAAGCATTCAAAGTCTCTTCTTTACCAAAACACTCTAAGCCCTACAGCTACCTTTTTACACAAGCAGCACGTTAGCATGACTAACCAAAGAACAGAGCAGACGTGAAGGACATCGTGCTTCACAACACATTTTCCAATATCATATTTATGTGTTATTTCTACGAAAGCCACCCATTCCAGAAGGAAAAAGCTTGCAACCTGAGATACATGCAACTATCAGAGAGCAAAGCTCTACACTAGATCATTTAAGTGCCAAATGATTGCAGTGTGTTACTTCCAACATCTTAACAGAATTACCAACCTGAAGGGATAAGGGGCTGTTTCCATCCTGAGCTTTGGTCCAACAAGCAACAAGTTTTTCCACGTTGCCAGCACAAATGTAACAGAGACAAGCCTGTGTCTGCAGAAGGCTGTCCCCCTCACTCTCCAGCCTGTTACCCAGGAGATCTAGGAAACATATGAGCAAAGAAAATGCTGGTGAATGACCTTGGTGGTCCCTCCATCACTGGCGAGGCTAGGGAAGCCTGCAATGCCTGTTGTGTCTCTGCTCAGCACAGTGAGAAGGGATATTGCCTCTGGGCTCCATTGGTAAGGACATACTCCGATGCTCAGCACAGATTATCTCATGGGAGCCCAGGGCACTTCAGAGGCAGTTAATGTAATGGCAGCAAGGACTTGTCAAATGCCTGCAAACCTGGCACACATCAGAGGGGACAGTCCATCTGCCAACAGGACAAAGGACAAGAGGCCAGGGTTTGATTCTCCCCTCTGCCACCCACTTTTTGCAGTCCCTCATTTCAGGGGCACAACCTGATTGTGCAACCAGCCGAGGAACCATGAGCAACAAAGCTGTGGCACTGCTCTGGGCCAATGTGCGCTGAAGCGAGTCGTACAGCTCCCTAGACACCATGGCTGGTGTCTGAGGGGCACAGGGGTATTGGGCACACAGCTATCGGCAATATAACCTCCCTACAGGTTAAACCCAGCCAGCTGTTTGCCATGCAGCACACGAGGGCAGGCATGCTCACTGCCTGTGAAAGAGAACTCCATCCAAGAAATCAAAATTGCTCTTGGGAAAGAAGAGCGAAGTGCTTCCCTGAAGCATTTCCATTTGTGTCCCATACACAAACGCTCCCAAGAGTCCCTTGGCTAAGGCACCTGTCACATCAACATCACCGTTACCCATCTAGAAACAGTAAGAGACCAGCAGCTGTGCACTACACAGGCGATGCCAGGACACAGGGTCTGGGTTCCGTGCCCAGAAAATCAGGGAACATATCAGGAACACAGCACCCCAGAGGTTCCTCTCCTCCCTGCAACAGGACTGAAGAACTATTACCCATCAAAGAAGCTAGTGAGGCATTACAATAGTTTACTGGAAGGAAAACAACCATGGCTACAGTGGAATAAATGACGTCCAGTCTGTAAAGTGTCCTTACCGCAAAGGGCTGCAAACTCATCTGGCCTTGCATAAGTGAGCACAGCAGCCAAAGCCTCTCTCCAATTCTGCAGATCACAGGACTGCACAATCTCTTCCCAGTTCTTCGTTACCACTGCAGTGATAAGCTAGACCAGAAGGAGAGAGACCACAGTTAAGATCTTGGTAGGATTCCCTTTGTTTTTTAGGACACAGTGCAATTTATATCTATTCAAGACTACTCATCCCCACTGTACCCAGGGTCACAGCAGATACTGCAATGCAATTCAACAGCTGCACAAGAGTATATTTTACTTCAAAAGGAGTTCAGCAAAAATCACAGAACAAGCTCAGATAACACAGGCCAATTATTCTTGCTACAAAACGTGCAAGAAAAGAATGCACAAATCTCTGCAAGCTGGGATTGCTATAGATGGTTTTCAGCACTGTTTTTGCAGACAAAGATAATATACCAAGTATTTAGCTATAAATCTTCTACACAATGCCCAGCAAGGGGTATGAATTTTGTTTGTCAAACTGTTTCATTTGGCTTTAAGTTCTTGACCTCAGGCTGACCAATGAGGGGCAGCTGAAAAAAGCTGCTCGAAGGAAGAAGCAAGTTGGCAGCAGTATCAACCTGAGCTGGCACAGAGGCTGTCTGTCCACAAGCCCTCAGAATGAAATTCCAGTTTCTTCCATCTCAAACTCTGCCTCTGGTTATTTTGCTTCAGACAAAAGACAGACTTGGCAGCTGTGCTGCTATTTAATGAACAAACCCCTTGTCATGCCAAGACTTCAGGCTCAGAAACAGCTGAACAAGCAGTTAAGTGTGCAGTTGGGACCAGAAAAATAAAAAAGCCACACCTGAACAACAAATGCAAGGTCCTAACTACAAGGTCAACACTCCTTAGCACAGGCACAGACAACTGGTCAGCTCTCCATAAAAATACCTTTTCCCAAAGGATGAACTACAGTGAAGAAATTTCCCCATGCACTACAAAATTCTCCTTCCTCTGATTAGGCCAGAGAAGGAAAGGATCTGGGGGCAGGGGAAGAAATCCTGCAGAGTCTTGAGATTTTCCTCTTTTCACTTGTCCACTACTAGAAATGCAAATTGTTCCCATCTCAAACTGGCTCATGAGCAATGACCAGCAAAATCCCACTTACAGACCCTAGCCTGTAATGCTGCGTGCCCTAACTTCCCAAGTGACTGTGCTTTGTGGCCTTCAGCCCTGCTCCTGCAAAGCACTTAAGCACATGCCCATTTTACAGGCTGCCTCCTGCTACTGTGTAAAACACCCTTCTTTGACAATGGACTGCTAAAAAGCGACCAAGACCAACTTTCTCCCCTTCTCTAAAGCAGCCATCCTTGCCAAGCCAATTGTCCTGTACTCTTTTAAGGCCACTTTTCCTGTTTCATCCTCCTGTTGCTACTTTCTCAAGTCAGTACTAAAGACGAAAGGTTTGAATGAGCAGCATCAGCAATCCCCAGCCTTGCAAAAAGCTGAAAAGAACAGCAATCAGCTGGCCATAACACACTGTCTCCTAGACAAAGGGTGATTGATCTACCCTGGGCATACTTAGCTCTCTTCTGTGCATGCAGTGAAACGAAGCATTGGCAAAATCTGTTAAGATTGATCACAGGCAAAAATCAACATAATGCTGCTGGCACTGAGCATGGGTTGTGTGTGACTTGAAAAACGTGACAAGATAACAGACTGAAATGTCCACTGCTTAAGGATTTATCAGTGAGAATCTACTAGTGTATATGCAACTCAAAGACACTGGAGACAAGGTAAAGAATACTCTTCTTGTATATTGATATCCAGGTAGTGTGCCTCTTCTCTCCTTATCAATGCATTAAAAAAGAATAATTTAAATCTTTCTGCTCTGAGATCTCGTGGATGACTTGAATACTTATTAGCTTCTCACAGAAATAAACCTATGAAATGGGAAGAAAACTTTTAAGGCTAAAAAGGGAGTAGCTAAAGGCCTATATGCATGCTGTTTCTTAACAGAAAAAACATACCCTGGTAATTTTGCTCTGCATCTTAGCAAAGTACTTTTCCTGTGTCCTAGAAAGCAGTTCTTGTCCGCCTGCGATGGCCAAGATAATGGCGTCAGCCATGCGGTTATCGTGCAAGCAGAGATCTACTGCGCTCTCAAAGTTACCCGTCAGCAAAGCCTGGGTAATCAAACCGTCCACATCTGCAACAAGAGAGGAGTGCATTTTCAAATGATGGCACAAAAGTCACTTAAATATGCAACAGCAGGTGATTGTGTTCAACTGTACAACACTGCGCAAAGTTCTCTGCAAACCAGCCTGCTCCAGGCAGGTACTTACAGGGATGCTCAAGTTCATCTCCAGTCTCAAACACACTATGGTCACAGCCACATCAGGTGGGGCACTGTCAAGCATCATTTACCTTGCTGCAGAGCAAGGTGCTAGTAAATGCTAGCAGTCTAAATGACCTCTGAAACAACTACCCTGCATACAGTGCCAGAAAAAGTCAAACCTAGACAGGGGTAAATAGCTTCTGTGTTATTCAAGATCCCCTGGAGTTTCTCTACAAATAGTGATGTTAGCACTTCATGCCTGATCAGGTGTGTGTTCTTGTATATCAGAAATCACTCAGAGGAGCTGCATTTCAGCAATGGGGTATGAGTGCTGCATACTTCCTTTTCTTCCGTTCCCTTCCTTAAAGAAGCTGTATTTTCAAGAGCCTTGAGACCACTGTGAAATGGAATTAGAGGCAGGTCATAGTAATCCTTCACAATGTGTGCAGAAATTGCCTTCTCACTGGAACACCAGTATAAACAGCAGTATTTATAAATATCAGCACATACAATGAAATCAATATCAAGGTTTTTTTTTACCTCCACTAACAGAGATGTTAAATGTCTTCTTTGCAGATCCCAAATCTTCAGTTTCTTGTTTATGGTCATTCACTCTCTAAGAGAAAGGAAAAGCATAATATTTGAGATTATGTAAACACTTAGAATACACACACACATTTTAAAAAACACAGCTCTTGCATTACAAGTTAAAGATAGACCTTCAGACTACCAGTCACCTAAGAGATCATTAACTTAAAAGGGAAGATTATTCCTGCCATTTCTTAGAACACAAACAATCCTGTGTTTCAGCACAGGATAATCAACTTCCCCTGGTGCCTGCACAAAGTCACCTCCTAATACACTGAGTAAGGCCTGGACTTACCAAAGGACTGCCAGTGCATGTAAACACACCATTATAAAATCATTGTTCTGAGAGATCAGAGTGGACCATTTTTTAAAATGGATGCCAAGGTGGAAAAAGTGCTGGAAGCCCCAGATTTCTAACCACCAGGAAAGGCTTATGCAAGCACAAGCGTGCATAGAGATCACAAATACCAGCAACCAGACACCTGGATCCTGGGTACCGATTTGTGTACGTGCATCCATGTCCATATACACACAACCCCCTCAAAGCAAAAAAACAGCCACAGCCACAAAATGAGAAACCTTCTCCCTTCCCTCCTCTTTCAACTCTGACCCTTACCAAGAACAGTCTACCATAACGCTACCTAGGTTTCACCTTGCTCCACTTAAACTTTCAGTTCATCCTTGAAGCACTCTGCACTAGGCGCACACCCTAGTTTAATTAAGCAAAACACATGAACACAGAAGTCCAGTGTGATCCACAGAGACTTAAGTGCTTCACACTCAGTACAGGAGTGCTCAGTGGACAGAAGCTACTTTTTTATAAAACTCCCCCAGGAATTAAGTTAGAGAGCACTTTCTGCAAGTATTTGGATTTTGGGATTTCCAACAAAACCTTTCAAGAATAAAAAAATAACACCAAGAGGGAAGTCTCTCTCCACCATCAATTTTCATAGCACAGCCTAAGAAAAGTGCAGAAATTGTCCCACAAACTGCCTCCTCTGTCATAAGCCAGCATGCTAGTACATGCAGTGGGAATTCAAGAGTCTGCTGAGAACACCCTGCTTATATGCTGATCAGTGAAACTGTACTTCAGAGAATGAAGAACAAGTACATAGTTGACCAAGAACAGTCATTTGGAATGGGGAGGTAAGCCTGAAACAGGCTTTATGTTTGGCTCATGAAAGGAGGCAGCATCTGGAAAATTTTGCTGTGAGATAACGTGTGATGTGTGTTTGGTATTAGTTGAGAGCATGTTGTGACGATCTCAGCAATAATGTGCCTATCCAGTTACTTCATGTATGTGACAGCACTCCCTGATCAGTGGCTTCAGGCCAATCTCACAACTATTTACCACCCATGATAGTAGGCTAAGGTCACGTTTGGCTGTGAATTCTCTCCTAGAAGAGATGTTTGTTATGAGACATCTAATATCTTCACGACTGCATACAGCAAAATCATTACACAGTCAGATACATGTCTGCCGCTACAGTGTCTAATGAATTAACAAGCAATCAAGCACCTAACCTAAGGAGAGCACTCTGTTTTAGTGTCCTTAACAGACTGTTATATGGAGTCAACAAGTGCACCACTCCAACATGCATAAGCCATAAACCACTGTCCTCATCTTCACAGACAACTGGAGACAGGCACCAAGCACGGGGAGCATAGGTAGTTTTGGGCTAACAGCTCAAATTCTAACCCAAAAGGGAGACTGAGGGAATGGCGGAGAATGAAGCTGGCCTGTTCACACAGCGATACTAGTATTTTCAGTGCTATTAACCTCACATGGCAGAGTCTGGGTCCTTAGTTATAATAATAAGACTTGTCCCCATATTTAAAACACAGGGTTGAAAACAATGCTGCTCAAATGGACAGAAATGAACAAAAGCTGTAGGATCCCAGAGGCAGAGGTGGTAGAACGCAAACTGCCTGTGATAAACTTGGCCGAACTGTTGCAACAGACATTCATAAGGAAGCTATCTACCAAAGTCCTGATACTCGCTGTTCAGATGCAAAGTGGGTGGATAGCACTGTGATGTCAGTGGGGGCAATGCAGAGAATGAACGTTCCCCCTCTCCTCCAGTACCACAGCTGCATCTCTGCAAAGGGTTATACCCAGAAACAGGGCAGTATAAGCTGACAGCTTAGTAATAATCAATGAGAGGGAGGGAAGAAAGGAATGAAGAAATGCAGGGGGAAGGAATGCATTAGACTTGTGGCAGCAGATCATTTAGTATGTGTTAGGGAAATGCCAGAGTGAACATCATGGCAGAATAAAGTCCTTGAGTTGGTGCCAACTGGACTGTTACAAAATGAGCTTGTTCTTCACTGCCACCAAAATCTATTCACATGATGTCTGAGGCCAATGAGAAAATCTCAAGCAACTTAACAAGAGCTCACATTTTACTCATTCTAAATAACTTGCATTTCCATATATCCTCAGCACTAGGAAAAGCCCACAAAATAAAATGCTCTTAATAGTAACAAAGTAAATACACAGGAGGTCAACAGAGTTAGAGAGCAACAAATACCTCTCCCAAGAACTGCTCCTCTGTAGCCTGGCCTTCGTCCCCCTTGTTCGGCACAGATTCATCAGATTCTGTGGGAGCCTTCAGCAGAGAGAAGATGCCATAAAAAGAAAAGACAGCAAAAGAGGAAGAAACACTTTGCACCGCAGAGTATAGCCACCTTCCCACCAACAATAGTCAGAACCAGACTGCAAATCACAGAAATGCATTGGCAATATATGCTTGAGTACAATAAACATGGTAGATGCCCTCCATTTCTCTGCTCTTTGTCATCACACAGTACTTTGTGTTGTTTTCATCTTAGCTGCCTGAAAACATGCAGGCAAACTTCTCTCCCTAATTAGACACTACAGATGACATCCGGAATGTCTACAGCACAAAAGCAATGCAGTCCCCCGGTTGTAGCGTCAGGCCACTGCAATGACAATGGGCAATGTCTGAACTGTATTTATCACTCTTGCAGGGAATTGTTACAGTACCACACTCAGTCCTGCTTTTTTTAAAGCCTGGGGAAGGTGCTGCTCTTCAAACCAGCTGCCAGGCAGCAAGGCTCTGCCCTACCTCACAGGCAGCACAAAGCGTCACAGTGGGCAAGACGTAGGCAGAAAAAAGCAAAAGCGGAGAGACAACACTGAGACCCTGAACTAAAAATCTGTGAGAGCCCTTTGTGGGAAAGGCAGGGACATACGATTGGAAAAAAGTGGTTTTCTTTTTTTTTTAAATAAGTACCTTCATCCTACTGAATGTAGGTACTTGTCATATGCTGGGTTATTTGTGACTTACTTTGGGACACCTACCAAGTGGAAAAACAATTATTCTTACTTTGCACATTACCATAGCATTACAAGACTAAACACAGTTGTACACGTGTTTGCTTACCTCTCCAAAGTCACCATCTGCAAGACCCTCTTTATTCAGAGCGGATGTAATCTAGAAAACAACCAAGATTTAAGTAAGTGCCCTTCAATTTTAGAGAGGCAGACCTCTCACTGGTCTCTCTGATTGCAAGACTGGCACATGTAGCTAATATGTTGCTTGCAGAACAGTTAACATGAAACTAAAGTAACTTCCTTTCCCAGTCTGGTGATGGATTTACTGCTAAGCCCCCTGCACCCCAAGCTCTGATGGAAACAACAGCTGCTCTATGCCTTTAAACCTTTAATTGTTAACTCAAGGGCCTCAAGCCTCACTAGAGCTGCTGCAAATCACCATAATAAAAATAGTATCAGAGCATGCAGGACAAAACCCTGTCTGCTCTGGTCAGGGAAAATGAAGCAGTGACAATCCTTGTGGAGCAGAGAGCCTGTCAGGAAGCTGTAGTTTCAAGCACAGCAGGAGAAAGGCTGCGGACTAGGATTTTCCACAGAATGGTTAAAACATCCAGCTTTTAACTGCTTTGCAAAGCAAATCATGACTCCAGATTCAATTAAGGCCCTCAAAACCACTAATTTAATGTATAGAGTTTAGAATAAATGCAGAAAATACATTAGTGTGGCATCTGGGAGCCTAGGTTTCGTAATGTTGCTAATGTTATCTACTACTTTTAGTATTGCAGGCTTTATTTTACCATTGTAAGCTGGTTTTCACAAGAAGCTGAGCTAAAATTGCTGGAGAGTTTTCTCTGTCTTTTTTTAATCATTAGTTTACAATAGAAAGGAGAGATCCAGGACTTGACTTGCATATGAGAATCACAGGTTTTAAGAAGATAAAACCAAAACACCATGTTCTTAACAGCTTATTCCAAAAAGCTGAAATCTGTGACCCTTTTTTACTTTCCTTACCCTACCAGTAACCAAGTGGTGATTTAGTGAGTTTATCACCTGGGTATCACAAATTTTCAGACAAACTACCAATTATTGTTTCTTGACACCAAAAAAACCATGGATTCAACTTCAACATGGAATGCTTTGTTAAGAAACAGCTACATGAAACATGACCTTGCAGCTCCCCTCATCTGTCCCTCAAATACTGAAATAATGGGGTAGGCCCAGCATTTCATGCCACTCAATTCAGCTATGCCCATTTTCCCACCTTCTCCCCATGCACAGGGCATATAAAACCCAGAGCGACAGTAGCAGTGGGCTCCAGTCTGCATGAGGCCACTCTGCAAGACCACTACTAAATTTCAACTGGATTTTCTAATTGAGGTCTGCTTTTCAAAAACAGGATTTCCCTTGCTGTGCTTACCTTTGACTCATGCAACAAAAATTTAGAAGCTGAAGACAGACTGTTAGCAAAACTATGATTTTTTTTCTGTAATCATAATATGTTTGCCCTGGAGGCCATTTAATTTGTAACCATAATGACTTTTTGATGGAGCCAGTCTTTGAAAATAAAACATTAGTTTGACACAATGAAAATGAGTCAAACATCCAAATCAACTGAATGAGAACTGAAGAAACACTAGATAGTTCCTGGGTACAGCACTGAAAGCAATAAAGAGCCAAAATGCACAGCAGGTATCTCCCTGTAACACTGAGATAAGAATCTTCCTCCAACTTGGAAGAAAGCTCTATACTGAAGATGTGCAAGTTGCTTCCTGGTAATCCAAATTTTTCCTTTCCAAATGTAACCAGGTTTGATCTGTGGGGTTTTTGTTTTGGTTTTTTTGTTTGTTTGTTTTGTAAAAATTAGTAGCATCCCACACAAAAAAACCCAAACCTATTCTAGGTTTTCCAAGGTAGTTAATGAAACCCTGAAGACTGCTTACATGTTCTTCAACCAGAAAGCCTAAAACCAGATCAGATTTCATGATCCTACAGTAGAAGGATGTCACATAAAAAAGTTACATGACTCGCTTGACCCAACAAATATCAAAGCTTCTTGATGGGTGAGAATTTCAGATCAACATTGAACAGTCAGATGCAGACACGCCTCTGAAGTCTGTTGCCTGCTTTGAAATGTTCATTGAACATCCATATGGCAAGAAGATGACATAGCTAATAAAAAAAAACAACAAAGCAAACTGCTTGCTGGAAGAATTCTGAAGTTATGAGTTGTTTATCTGGACAAAATTTAAAGAGCAGAGGAATATTTCTCTCATCCTTTGGAACAAAGGAATTCCTTAAATAACACAACTATCAAGTTAGCCATGTTTAAACAGGGGCTCTGGCACCATGGGTAACAGCTGTATTGTGGCTATTAGGAGAGCTGCAGCACTGACAAATACCATCTGCTAGGAAACACACTGAAAATGTTGTATAAAAATGTTTATTGTATTGAATAGCCTGTGGATACTGGTAATTGCTCTTCCAGTCCCACAGGTAAATGAGTACTTCAACCATACATGGCATCGTCAACATTTTAGGCCAACTTTTTAGGCTGTGTATGCTGCAGATACATCCATCAGTAAAGCACTTAACACAAGCATAGCTTCCAGGCACATTTACCTTCTTCCTCAGATCACCCTTCCTGTATCCCAAGAGCTCAAGGTATTTAACACGTGAATCTTCTTCAAAGTTCACCTTTAAAAAACAAAAGTTAAAGAATATATCACAATTCACGATTTTTCATTTTCTCCCTCACTAACCAGCACAAATTAACCCAGTGAGAGCTAGTGACTGTGAACACTGAGTGTAATAAAGAGAACTGAAAAGGTCTTCAGTGACTTGAGCACTTGAGTAGGGAAGCAAGGCTTAAATCTGGTTATTGTAGGTGAACAATCTGCTTATCTGCTTCACTTGGAAACTTCTAAACATTCACAATGAGCAGTGAAAAGCACATCTAAAGCTATCCCAAAGCTTTATCCCTTCTCACCACCTCCCTGTACAAAGATGTACTGACAGGCGATGTCAAAAAGCACAGGATACCCTCCCTCAAGCCTTGGCTTCTGCCATGGTTCCTCATGAACCCTGCAAATACCCCCAGCCCTGAGGACCCTCTCTCTTCTGGTGGGCCACCTCCAGTGACAGGGCTTATGGACACTATTCCCACAGCCTACACTTTTGGTTCCCAGCACCTCTTCTGCTAAAATACCATAATGAGCAGAAGAAACCATTTCTGCACTGGCTTTCCAAGTCAGTGGGGAACTTCTGAACTGCTGTTATCCTGTTACCTTTAAGAAGGCCCACACGTTTTTCTCAAAGTCAGCCCGGGCCATGTCAATTTTCTTCTGGCAGTAGCTGACAAAGCCTTCAGACTGCACAGCCTCTTGCAGCTGGTTCGAGCGGGCCAGGAATTCCTTCTCTGTAACAACCTGGCTAAGGTAGACATGGTGACGCTGCTGCTGCTCGATGCCTGGCTGCTGCTGAGACTTGGCATTCTCAAATGTAACCAGCTTGCCTCCAAACTGGAATTGATGCACACATGCAGTATGTAAAAATACAAGTATACACTGGAGCGCATATGAAAAAGCATGCGCATACACATATATATGCACATGATTTTATATAGCGTATATATGCATATCATCCAATGGACAAACATTCCTGACATCAACTCATTCATTTTTTTTTTTTTCCCCCCACCACCCCATACTTCCACGCATGTAAGGAGCTTGCTGGATAAGTGGGTGCACGTTTAGTAAGATTTATGAACACAGCTGCTCCGGTGCCTGTTTTTTCTCAGGCAGAAGACTGACTAGAAACTGTGAACTAGAGCTGTGGGTCTGTACAGTGCCCAGCATAAATGGACTATCTCACGATATTGCAATGTAATTACCAAAGAAACCTATGCATCGTTAAATAAATGCTCAAGCATGATGTCTGCCCTGCTCTTGGGAGGCTGTTTCCCAGTTAAAAATCTACTGAGAGATGGGCAGTAAGTTGTGTCATCATTTGGAGAGAAGTAAAATCAACAGAAGAAAAAAATTAGAAGGGGCTTATAATGTTATTTCATTCTATAGCTCAAAGTTAATTTCCACAGGCCAGTCCAATAAATGACAAAGTCAGAATTACAAAAAGCAAAAGGCCTAGCCAAGAGAAAGACTTGATAGCTGGCTCCTGGAAAACCAGGAGAAATAAGGGAATAGACACCTATTATAAATGACACATCAGTCAGTGGCTAGGCAACATCACTTCTCTTTGATGGGAGAAAACTGCATTTAATTTGTGCATCAGATTACGAATAAGCAGACGTACGATGCTGAAAATTGAGCAGTATTTTGGCAAAAAAAAAAAACATTTCAAGTGGACAGGCTAAAATCTTCAGGAGATCCCCAAGAAAGGGCCCATGGGTCTAGAAAATAAGCCAAAGGTGGAGCCAAAGAGCAGATGCTGCAAATCAACCAGCCATGGGGGAGCCTAGCCATGTGCTGCTAAAGCAACTCTTGCTACCTTGATCAGAGCTAACTGGAGTATTCTCCACCACACTGACTCACATAATAGCTTCAAACTGCACTCAAGTCTCAGATATTTCCCCAGTTTGGTCCCACTCCCCCCTCCCAATGTGTATTTGTTTACTCCAAAGCAAGCACAGCACATAAATAAAAGCAAAGCCTTAATCCCAGAACAGAAAGAAACAAGTGTCTGTTGGCAACACAATGCCTCCTTGTTTCTTTTTCCCAAGCATTTTTGTCACACTTTTGTTGGCTTGCTGTACCAACCACCTGGTCTAGAAGCTGCTGCAAGCATCTCCTGCCACAATGATAAACAGGGGACGTTCTCCCAAGGTGGAGCACAACATTGAACTCCCCTCTTCCTCACATGTTTTTCAGGTGCCATCACTATCTCCCTTTCTGCCTGGCCAAGCATGCCTAGCCTTGTCTCCTCCTTACCGAGAACGATGCTCCCACAGGTCGCCGGATCCATTTGGGTGGTTTCTTTAGGGGCAAAATGACACTCTGTGGGGCTGTTTGCTGGGGAAGCTGCAGGGGTGGGAGTGGCTGTCCCATACCAAATGGATCGAGGTTCCCAAAAGACGATGAAAGCTTTGATAACAAAAGAGGGAAAAAACCAAAAGTGACATATCTGCAATAAACTAAACATAAGCATTTATTTGTACTGGATCCTGCAAGCAGTCCTGCAAGCTTGCAGTCTTGCAAGCAGGGCTGCCGACAGCCACTGAAGACTTCCCATGAGCCCGTGTTTTTTTCTACCCTCTTTCTGTCCATATTCTTAGCTGAACATTTCTCAATACCTGATCAACTTGCTTCTGCCTCAAGCCATCCGTGCTACCTCCCATGATGGAGTAAACGCTGATCCGCCCGTCGAATGAAGCCGCAGACAAGACAGCAGGGTTCCTGGGACACCACTGGATGTCAAAGCACCATTGTGTGTTTGTGGGCAACTCATACAGCACCTGGGCAGCAAAAACAAGTCCAACAAATCAGGGCTTTTATGAAGTACCACGTCCAACAGCCACATTTCTCCTGCCTGCCCCGAGACTGGTCTGTTGTTCTCGCTCCCCATCAGCCTCCACATCACCGTACACACTAACAGCTGGGCAAACCCTGACAACTGCTAAACAGGAGAATATCACACACCACTGATTAATTTCTTTCTCATCCCATTAAATCCTCTGTTTAACCCACACAGGTCAAACTATGCAGGCAGGGTATATCTGTGCTGTCCCACTGCAAGCTGTGAGCTGCTGCTGATATTCATGCTAGCTCATTCAGAGCTAATCTGGGTATCTCTGGGTATCTCTACACACTACATGGAGACATGCCCAGGCTTCAAAGTAAGTCTGTTTCAAAGGAAAATTGGAAAAGTTAAAACCTGCACTCTGGGCAGACAGCCTCTCCTGCCCTGGAACAGACAAGCCCATCACTGCAGCAGACATTTAACCATAAGCTAGGAGAAACTCAAAGAGCAAAATGCTAACTGCCTCGCTGTCTCCCAGGAAACTGTTCTTTATTTTTAATAAAAACATGTGATATGATTCATCCACATGTAAAGCCTTCCTAACAGCTCAGGATCCAGCTCAGATAACTCATTTATCACCCCACAGCTTCTGCACTTTTGGGCCAATGTCTGAATTTTAGAAACACTTCTCAGTCTGTCCTCCAGCATTATTGCTCACTGCAGGCAAGGAGCCCTCCAGCATCCCTGAAGCCCTTCTCATGATCTAGGGACAAACACTCAACTTGTCTGAAAAAAGGATCTGCATCCCCTTTGAAAGGTATCCCCAGTCCCAAAAGGGTGGTTTGGGAACACACTCAACTGGCTCTCACTGATCTGCCACTATTGTAGTAACCTACAAAATCACTCTGGCCTGGATAAAAGTTCTTACACTGACAGAAGGAAAAAGGCAATTGCAACAGTAATCCAGATACACGGGCCCAAACCAAAAGAGTAGGAAGAAAGTGCTTAGTTTAAGTGGTGCCATTTCTATCCCTTATAATGAGCAGTGGCCTTACTACTTAGCAGGAGAGAAGCAGTAAGGACAAACATGTAGTATCAGCAATACTAAGAAGGAATCCTGCACCACCAGAACAAGCTCAGAAGGTGCTTACACCAAACACAAGTACACAGGGTAGAGAGAAACAGCCCATAGAAGCATCACTCCTAGGAATGCAAGCACACCAACCCCTGCTTTGCATATGCCACTGTGCCACCTCTGAACAGAGGGGTTTTTTAAGTGGTGTGCATACAATACCTCGCCCGTGTTCGGGTTGGAGCAGAGAATTTTAGCATCCTTCCCACAGCTAAGTAGCAGCTCCGAATCCGCCATACTCCAAGCAATGGCCAATATACCCCTGCGTGAAAAGTCACAACCAAAAAAGTTTAATGTAAATGCAAAATGATGATAAATAAACCATATTTATAAGTTGAATTTCTCTATTAGCTGAGCATTCCACCTCAAAATGCCCTCCACACTCCTTCCTCTTACAAGAGGAGAAATTTTTCAATGTTAGCAGCACTTTATCGAAATAGATGCTTTCAACAGTCATGCAGGAAAACCTGGACACCAATGTAACAAAATGGTTTGTTTGCCTGCAGTATCATTAACATACAGTGTGCAAACCTGTAGGTAAGGTCAGTGACTACGAAGTTTGTCAGCTTCTTTTTATTAGCAGGACATTCAAGTCAGCAGAACCACTGGCAGCAGTTTTGGTGAGAAGCTACAACACACACTTATTGCTGTTCTCTCTCCCTAAATCAAGCACTGGCCTTCGGCAATAAGGAAAGTTTCACTAACAATTGAGGAAGGATGAGAATTTAACAAAATCTTTCCTTGCACTCAAACTTAAGGCATTTAGCGGACTGAGGGGCAGAGAAACTGCGCGTGTCCACATGTGAGGATGCATCCAGGTGCACCTTCAGTCCATTATTCAGGAAAAATCAACTATTACTAACTCTTTGCACCTCAGTTCCCTCTTATCAAAAAGCATAGAAACAAACTACCAACTTCAGTGTTTCAGCAGGATGGTGGGGTTTTTTTGTTTATTTTGGAGCCTGTTCCCTTCAAACCAGCAGGCCCCCAAAAAGCAAGCCTTTCAAGACACAGAGTTGGCTAGTTCGCAAGCCAGCACACAACACTGCCTGCTGCTGGAATCGCTGCCTCCAACTAAGTAAGCCTTCACAGGGAACTGAGCAAGAAGCGAGATGTACAAACTGGTACGCAGTCACCAACAATGCAAACACCATGGAGCAGCAGGCTACATAAGATTCATACCTTGTATGGCTTTCTAGAACACGAAGTGGCGAGGAGGCAAATCTTAGGTCCCACATCTGAATCACAGGCAGCCTGTCATCTTCTGAGGCCAAAACCATCTGGGTAGCAACATCAGGGTGCCACGCCAGGCCTGAGCAGTGCATCTGAGGGACAACATTGCACCACAGCATAAAATAACTAAGCAGCACTAAAGGACAAAAGACAACTAGCTTAAATATGTCTACATGCATGGGAAAACACTGTTGCAATAGAATTTGCAGCTGTGTTTTTGGGCATTATTTCTGACTGCATTCAGATTGGGATACTCTCCTCGTATCCGTGAGTGAGGAGACTTGCAGTTAGTTTCCCAAAGTCCTCCCAAAGAGATGACTTTGTGCTGTCTTGTTCACAGTCCTATGTTTTAACGTAAGAAAACTGTAAAGCCCTCTGTACAAACCTTCTTCTCTAATATTTTTATTGATATTTCAATAAAAGCCATCATTAGGCAAGAGGTTATTGTCATGTGAACACTGTATCACTAGACTACAATCACATGATGAAGACAGCGTACTGTGCTGCTGTTATGTTAGGCAACAAATACATAAACCATTGAGGGTGATCAAGCAGCTACTTCAGCAACACCCATTTATAAATATCATTTTGAACCCTTGCTCCATCTTCAAAGTTTGTTATAGGAAGTTTGTTTATTGTTGTTATTCCATTTAAAATACACAGAATTATACAAATATGGCACTCTCCACGAGTTCAACAGGCTCTTTTTTACATTTACACTGCCCCAGGAGCAGATGTGGTGGTTAACTGTATGAGGCAGTGTCCCCTGTAACCCGCTCAATGCCAACACTCCTCTGTGGCGCTCTCCACCACAGATCCTGCACTCTCCAAGCTCAGCTGCAGCCTGCTCCTATTTCCACATCCAGACCAGCAGAAACACAGGCCCCAGCTTCATCAGTCATCAGTGTCCTGCCAGGGCTCAGCCCTTGTGCTCATCCCACCTGTGATGACAAGGAGGAAGCTCTCTCTGCCTGAGCACCAAGTCATGACATCACCTGCTCTGTGAAACTAAATGTGCTCACCCAGAGTACGTCAGCTACCACCTCACCTCTCCAGCACACAAAACATGTCACTTCTGACTAGCTGAATAAAAATCTTTCTGTGGTAGCCCCAAACAGATCAATAATGGCTTTCTTCAAACCAACTTATCACTCTGATAGGAAATCCGAGTGCCTTGCTTCAATCTGCATCTGCCTATTTTCATTTAAAATGCTGATAACGTCTCTGCATATACATAGCCTTTTAAGAGAAAGCATTAGATATTTAGCACGTCATGTAAAACCAGGCCAGGCACCAGTATCTTTATGTCATGTGAGAAGGGGTGCTACGACCTGTCCTCACATGCCAAGAGGCACCCCAACCCTCTCCACAAGCACCCGTGCAGCCGTGCAAGAGCTAACTCACCCGGTTATTGTGGTCACTGACTTTGATGATGGGTTCATTCTTCCTGAGATCCCACACAGTAGCTCGGCCGCTAGGGCTGGCAGATGCCAGGATATGCTGGACTTGCCTGTTCCATGCAATGCAGCTGATGTCCTCAAGAGGCTGTTGCACACACAGAACAGCCTGTCACAACCTTTGCAAATTGAAGACTCAAAACGTGTTACTTTCAGGACTTGCTATATGACAAATCTTCAAGGAGACTCATCCCAGGTACTGCGTGTGTTCTGATTTCCTATGTACACATGCCGTAGGGTAAAATGCCTGAAAACCCCAATTTATAAGCTGCTAGTATTTCTCCAATACCTACATTTTCTGCTTTACAACATGATATAGTCACTTAGAGAAGACTAAGAACAACTGTCTCCGAGAACAGTAAATTACACCATGAAAGTATATCCGGGTATATGAACTGCCCTTTTGCCTTGGATTACTAGGTTTTGACTTACAAAAAAAATTGTAAGTTTGCTTGGAGGAATTCTGTGGGTTTTTTAATCTCTCCCCCAACTGCTTATTTTTAGTCCAAGAATTAAAAACATTAACCCAGTCCTTGTTGCATTATTAATTACAGCTGTCATTAAGTATATGGACTAAAAGATTTCCCAGCCTAAAAAAGTACTGTTAGACATAAAAAATCCTATACAGGGATCTTTAACTAAGGTGCGTGTCCTCCAGAATGCTCAGGTGATAATATCAACTCAGACTAAACAAAGTATCCAAACCCACAGAGTTTAAACTAAAAATCTTTAAACTGAAAATTACTTCTCATTCCATTTCCTCACTTTTTTGTCTCCAAATTATCATGCAGTAATAAACCCATTTTCCAATAATAGCAAATTTCTTGTGCAATTTTGTAACAGCTACAGAAATGTACATGCATTGAAACAACTTCCTCCCATTCTTCTATCTATCTCCTTCACAAGGCACAAAGTACAAAAGGCTATTGTTTTTCTCTATAGATCTTCTTGAAGAGATACAGGCTAAACAATGGCCCTGAAGTATTGCAATTAAACACTCCCTGAAATCCATGAAGGTAACTGCCAAACCTACTGCCTCATCTTCTGACTTCTCAGTAGCTGCTTTTTATCTTCCTCCTATTTTCCTCAATCTGTACCTTCACAATCTTTAGATTCATGCATGCAGTGAAACATGCAGAAGACTAGAAGACATGTAATGGTTATGGATATTTAAAAAGTGGTGTAACCCAAGAGACTCTGCTTGTTATTACTTGTTGCTTGATAAAATGCAACATTTCTCAAAGACTAAGAGGATCCTTCAGCTTTCCCTCGTCAAATACAGTTTTTTAAAAAATAAAATCCCACCACGTGAAGACATCAATCAACTGTTTGTGCAGCCAGTCAAAAGTGCAGGTCTGCTGTGGATAAACATGACTGCAACCTCCAGGGTTGCTGCACTGGAAACAGAACACACCACTCATCGTATGGACCTGTGCACTTAGAGGCACAGCCGGGAAACTGCACTCCGGGGCTTAGAAAAACAGCATCAGCATCCAGTCACCCTTGTATAGAGCTGGGCAAAAAATCACGGCTAGACACACAGTGTGGCAAAATAGTGCTGTCACAACTGACTTCCAAAAGCGTTCACTGAAAGCTACCTACGGTGCCACTCAGAGTACTGCCCTTAAGGACGTGGGCTCCTGCTGTATGCTTTGAGTAACAGGCATGTCACAAGGAGAAAAATATCTGAAACCCCAGTCTAATAAGCATGTTACAAAAATTAAGTACCAATAGAAGGCCTGTTTTTGTTGGCCTTTGGGAAAGCCACTGGAGAACAACATGCAGGAACATATTTTTATTTTGATACCGAGATATCTGTTGTACCACCCTTCAAGGATTGTATCCAACATTGCCAGAAATGTAGCTAACTACAGTAAACTGCTTCTCAAGTTAGACTTCAGAATGCTTTTTTTTTTTTTCCCCACCCTTGAGACAGCTTTAAAACTGTAGGTTTCAATGAGCTCTCAACTTAGGTGACATGCATATTTTTTGTTAGTCTGCTCTGCAGTATTTAACAAATACAAATCTGGTACCTGTGTCTTCACTCCTGGTGTCATTGGCGTGGCAAAATTGTTCAAGTCCCAGATATAGATTTCAGACTCATTAGCACCAGAGGCCACCAGATTAGTCTGTAAGACACGTAATAGATGTTAAAGAGTATTTTCAGCATCAGCTTTCACAGCCTTAGCTGCTGGTAGGCATCAGATCCACAGGACTGTCCCAATTTCTTCTATCAGCTCTGGATATAGTCTTTGGCTCACACAGAGGAGCTTAGGGAAAAAAGCAAGTTTTTTTGAGATTGCAGGTAAGACTGAGTTAATTAAAAAAATCCATACACTGCACTAGACTGGCAGGCCAAGACCAAAATTCCCATTCTTGTGGAGTGCTCCTCCACTGCACAGCAAATACCCATGAGGAGGCTGCAGGGGTGCAGCCATGGACAGGCGAGTGGAAAGCACTGACACTTCTGGGAGGGGGCAGACGACGAAGTGGTGCTGCAGCTGTCGCCACTGCAGAGCTTTGCTCCAGGTAGACCACAACACACGGGGCCGGCTGGGAGTGTGGCATTTGTGCCTCCAGCAGCAGACAGCACCCTGCCCACAGTGAGTGCAATCATCCAGAGCAATCCTGTGTCTGGGATGCAAAAGTCCATGCAGGGCAACATAAGCCGAGGGCACCGAGCGCCCTTTGATCACATCCCATGGCGGGTGACAAGCAGTTTCTGACTGCATAACAGGCTGAAAGGGAAAGGAAGTGATTCACAGAGGACACAATGAACACAGGGCAGTCTTGCTGAAAGCAAGTGCGCAGGGACAGAAGCGCTATTTAGGACACAAATTAAACTGAATCCTTGCACAGCTGCTGGGGACACGGAAAAACCAACCCACTGTATCTAAAAGGAAGTAAATGCTCATTAGTGACGGAGGAAAGCTTGTTGGTTTTGAGAGCTCTTCTGGTAAAGAGGCCACATTGCTGTGCTTCCTATTCTGTCTCCTCTTTCCAAATAACAACACTTAAGAGGTCTTGAAGACTGATCCTACCCAACCCCCAAAGGGGATACCTAAAGTCTGATGTCACTAGGAACATGAATGAGAGCACATAAATACTCCCTGTGTGATGAGAACAATATTGGCACAGTATGTGGGAGCTAAAAAAGGAGACTGGCTAAAAACACCACAGAAGACCACCTCTACTTTACATGTAAGCTGAGCTAAGAAGACCCATTAAATTGACAATGTAAACTGATGAGGGGAAGGAATGAACCAGATGCCTTAAACTCATTCATACCCCATCCTGAAATACCAGTAACAGGACAGGTTTTTCCTACTAAATACAAACAGACACACGCTCAAACACCAAATCTAGTTCATGGTTTTCAGGGGAGGGGAAAGGGACAGAAACATTTAAGGTCACACGTTAAGACAGATCACCCGTCTATGATGGTATGTGAACAGCATAAGAACAGCAGAAAACCAACCTGGAACATGTTGACATCAAGTGCTCTTACTGGTCCCGTGTGCTTATCTTTCTGGGCAATTATTACTTCAGTGTCTCCAGCTATGATTTTGGCTGGGTCGTACAGAATGACATTTCCGTTTTCACCACCAGCAATCAGGACTCCAGAGACTCTCTCACCCGAGGTCATGCTGTGTGGCCCCCAGATAAGCTTGTGGTACCTGTAAGACACAGAGGAGCCCACAGTCTACAACCACCCATCATCAGCTCCACATACAATGATGCACCCCCTTTTGTTCACCCTAGCTAAAGCCTCCAGACTGCTGCTAACAGACAGAGCAGACATGTCAGAGAAAAGCACTGCCTGCATTTCTCCTTAAGGATGAGTCTCTGTATTTAAAACCCCTTCCCCCAGAAAGACAATGTGTCCCAATTCTGCTTGTTATCACGACACAGGGTCACGACATGCGCAACCAATAATCTGGTAACCAATAACATCTCTCATCTCCTGGCTGCAAAATCAGGTAAGTGCTCCCAACTGCATGTGATTTTGAGCTCACCTTTGCAAAACAACAGGAGTAATCAAAGAGAGGACTGTAGGCCTATGCAATCACAGCCTGGAGGTAAACTTCTGCTATTTGTGAGCAACTCTTCCGTACAAGAGAGGAAAAAGGTGGAACTAGAAAAGTTCCAAATCCTTTTCCATATCTGTGCTTCTGGATGTGCAACAATTTCATCTGCTGTCTTGAGGCTCAGCAGGTAGTTTATTCACATGACAGACACATGGCTCTTGGACCACAATCTATTTTCCAGGCTCAATCAAGAGGAATTAAACATACTCCCAATAATGAAATATCTTCACACCACTGTGTCCATCTGCAAATACCCAAATTTCCTTCAACTCAATGAACTTGCTGCATAAGCAAAACAGCATTCCTGTGTATTCAGCCATGCAAAGAATGAATTTCTTCTACATAAAATGACACACGGTCACATACTGGCTCTTATGCAAGCAAAAAGCAAACCCACATTGACTGGAAAGTGGCAAGGAGTTACTTTAGCATTCACTGTGTTATTATTCATCTCTTCGTTATCTCTGGACAACCTTCAAGTAATTAATTTAAATCACAGCAACATCAGCATGATAAAATACATAGTGCAGAAAGGTAGACAAAGAGCATATGCTGGGTGAGAAATACTGTAACAGCCAAATGCTCCATCTCCTAGTGCAGTGTTTTTATACTTCTCCATCTAACTATGCAAGGTTACAAGAAATGGAGTGACCGACAGGGTTGTCCAGGCACTAGCATTACACCACCAGCAAGATTCAACAGGACTTAAGACAATCCAAAACGAAGGCAGAAAACGGTGAGGAACAAAAAAACAGAGTTAACTGTGCAGTTACTTTCCTCTTGGCCTTTGCTCTTGCCAAGATAAAGTATGGCTGTAAAAGCAGTGTGAAACTTTTACTTGCAAGACAATTAACAAAGCTTGTTGCAGGATTTATCTTTTGTGGGTTTAATCACCTGGATATTTTAATCTGCTGCAAACCAAAATAAAGCCTGACATACACACTGCTAGCTAGGGCATTTCTTGTTAGCTTTAATTAAAAAAAAAATTACAAAAATCGATGTCTTTTGTAATGCATTTTCTGGGGCAAAGTCAAATTCTTTTGTTGCTCACCAAGGGAAGCACTTTCAAAGCAACACTGCATCCTGGCTGTAAGGAGTGTTTTTTTGAATTCAGTAAACAAATGTCACTTGGCAAGCCTTGAAAAATCTCAGGCATAGTTAAAACAAGGTAGAACAAGGAAATTTTAAAAGATCAAAACCTCATCCTGCTCTCAGCAGGACATGTTAACATCAGCTATGCCCACAGTGCAGGGCATTAAACAGAGACTGTGGCTGTTTCTCACAAGCCCCACGTACTAAAACATGGACAACTGCAGGGCACAGATTGTGAGCTGCCTGCCAGGACAACTGCTCTGCTAGCCCCATGAATCATTACAACAAAACTGATATAGCACAAAGCCAGCAGCCTAACACCTTAAGCTTCCTCCTGCAAAAGCTACCACAGCCATTACTTACCCAAATCAGGACAGCATCCCTAAGCAGGGTCACAATCTTATTGCATGCAAATGCACACAATTTCAACCCCTCTCAAGCTGTTTATAGGCAACACGTAACCTCTAGGAACACAGCAAAGTATATTTGGTCAAGAGCTTTAGGCAACAGTTGTAGGTCCTTAGGTCTTGAAGTTACAGCTTTAGAACAGATAAAGAAGAATCAAGTCCAATTAATTTCTACTCATGTCAGAGGTGGGGGAGATGGCAATTGCTTCCCTAGAAGTGTCAAATTCTCACTTGTACATACTGGCAAAACGCTGTAGTTGCCTGCACCTCCAGTCATGTCGTTTAAGTTTACCAGGAGAAAAAGCAGTTATGCTGACACTGTAGCCTATATGAAAGAATCATGGATCCAATCCAATGGCATGAAAATTTTCACCTCCTTCTCTACCCACAGAAACATCCTGCACTTCCATGTATGCTGTTTCAGCTCACCCACAACGAGTGGCAGCCACTGGACCAGCCACCAGAAAGCCACTACAAGTGCTGTGAGATGGAAATTAGATGCTCTGATGCTAACAATATTTCTTTGGACAAGCACATGGTAAGGAACTAAGAGCTAAGTAGAGGTGTACAGTTAGGAACTTGGCTTTCTAGCTGTGGGGTGAGGTATGATACTACACACACAACATGACTCAGTTTAGTTATGTTAGAGGAATCTCCCTGAAATACCTAAATGCAAACAGGATGGGGCAATGTGAAAAGCTGCAACTGCATTTTCATAATTTCAGATTTCCTTCTGTTCTCTGGAGAATCCCAGAGGCTCCCCAAGATAAATGGTCTGCATACATATTCAAACCTACCAGGCAGTGTCAGATTTTTTTAGGTTGATGTCAGAGCATGAGCTGCTTGCAACTCCTCAGTCCAAGCTTACTGCCTTCACAATGACACCTTGCTGTCCCACAACATCAATGGCACTCACATGCCTTCATCCTTCAGCGCTGAACTTCTGCTCCTCTCCTTAACTGCAGATAAGCCTCATGAAATGGTGTTTCTACATGCACCATGTATAACACTTCCACAGCCATTACTTTTCCCTTACAACCCCACTGCTTACCTGTGAGTGGAGGAGAAGGTGGCGCAGGACTTCATGTCCAGCGAAGGGTCTGATAAGTCCAACTCAAATATTTCTAGAGAAGCACTTGTACTGAAGGTGGCATCCAGCTGCTGAGCTGATGTACCTGCAAAGAAGCACACTTGGCAGTGAGAAAGCCACGATACACAAAAGAGCAAGTGCAAAAGAATCACAAGGAGGGGCATAACAACGTCATCCTTGCAAAAAGGACCCTAAGATGGGGTCAGGTTTCTGTTTCTGTGATTTATATGTAGTTATACGTAACTCTCCTCCCCATGGTTACCCTATTGGGAGTTTCAGGAAAAGCTCTGGGCAAGTGCCCCTTTCTACCTGACGATGCACAAAAAACCAATCAAAGTTACAAACAAGCAGCAAGGGACAGTGAACTAGGAGTTAGGATCGCTGTCACCTTACCCTGGCAGAAAGAAGAGGATGCCTGCTGTCACTTGCAGAATGCAAAGCATGTTTTCATGCACGGCAGAACTGGAGAACTCCACTAAAGGCACCATGCCATATACCTTGCTCCAGCCTTCAGAATACAAAATAACTCCTACAACTTTCAATTACGACCACTTCATGGCAGCCACCACACATAGCCTGAAGCCTGCTTGCGCACACTTCCCAGAAACTCACCTGTGGCTAGGTAAATGGGGTGCTGCTGGGCAGGGCTCCATGCCTGCATGGCAGTACGATCAATTTCCTTCAACTTCATTTCACTGAAAAATAAAATGAAGAAAGGTAATGCTTAAATGGAGCATGGGGAGACTGCACTGCCACGGATTCAGCAGCTGCATTAGGACTTGGCAGAGGCAGCCAGGGTGATCGTTTTCCTAAAGATATCCCACAGAGAGACAGACACCTAAGCCATCCTCTCCAGAGCACACTGGGGAAGGAATAACGCTCCGTTGGCAGAATAACATCGACACGTAGAGGAAACTGATGGTTGCCGAGTAGAGCATAACACAGGAAAACGCGGGCAAAGGCTTCAACTGCTCAGAAAAACCCTTTTCTAGCAGCATCAAGGCACACATCGGGCACCCCAGAGCAGCTTTCAGCCTTCACCCACAAAGCAAACCCACCCTCGAGAAAACCTCCACTTCGCCCCTTGCCACCAAACGCCCTCAGCAACCAGCCAGATCAGAAGACGAAAAACGGCTTAAAAGCCTCCACCGCCGCATTTCTGGGTCTTATTTCAACAACCCTGGGGCTCCCCCCGCCTCAGAGACACCGTGCGGGGCCAGCGGGCGCCGGCGCGCGACCGACCGGCACCGGCCCGTTGGCAACGGTCGGTCGCGCGCCGGCGCCCCGCGGGCCGCCTCGTCGACCGGCACCTACGCCCCGTTTCCGACAGGAACTGAAAGGAAAAAA